GAGGGGGAGGGGGGGGGGCACTTGAAACTTTCTAGGTGGCGGACTAAAATTATCCGGGGTGGGGGGACGGGGACGGGCACTGGTGAAAGCGTATATTTCTATATGAATTCTATTTCATTCGGGGGGGGGGGGTGGCGGTAGACTTGCCTGAGCTAAACAGTGGATATATATATATATATATATATATATATATATATATATATATATATATATATATATATATATATATATATATATATATATATATATATATATATATATATATATACACACATACATCAGTAGCTTAGCACCCCTTTAAAAATATTCATTGTTGTACCATCGTCGGAACTTGGTGTGGAAAATACATCGGAAAATCGATACACAATTATAGTGATTTCAATTTTGAAGTTAAAATAGGATTATGCCTTTGTGTTTGGAGTGTGAGGGTTTGCGTGTATGTGTGGAATAGAGTGTGTGGTGTGTGTGTGGTGGAGGGAGAGTGTGTGTGTGTGGTGTGTGTGTGTGGTGTGTGTTTGATTTACAACTGACCTACGGGCTAGACTAACACAAAACTCAGCCCCCCCCCCCCCCCCCATACATTAGCCGTATTTGTACAACCGACGTCGATGAATCGTTTGCCATTAAAATATAGACATTTTGACTCGACCAACCGTTGGAAAAATTTTGTGGAGATAATGTGATGTCAAGATACATAAATCTTTAGACCCAGTGGCGTAGGCTGGATTTTATTATAATGGGGGTTCAACTTTCAAAACCACTTTAAATGCGTGAAATTGTGGTTTTGTGACATTTAAAAAATTTGAAATGGAAATCTACACAAGAACAGAGACCCTATATCTATTATAGTTCAGTCCTTATATACTCACCACTGTATACCGTTATTTACCCAACAGCATCAGACCTCAGTATAGAACAGAGACCCTCTATCTATTGCAGTTCATTTCCTATACATTCCATTACTCCATATCATTCAGAGTTTCTTCCAGGCATCTCTTCGGGGGGTGGGTGGGGGGTCAGAGTCCCCCCCCCCGGAAGAAATGAAATTTATATAGAAAATATATACTTTTAACAGTGTCCGCCCCCCCCCCCCCCCGAAGAAAGTCTCCCCCCCCCCTCCCCCCCCCGAAAATTTCAAGTGCCCCCCCCCCCCTTCGGCGAAAAAAGTCTGGAAGAAACACTGATACCATTATCTATTCAACGAAAACAGACAACGTTAAAGAACAGACACCCTATATCTATTACTATTCAGTGCCTATATACCCGACCACTCTATGCCAATATCTAATGAACAACCAGCATCAATGTTTCTTTTCTACTTTTTTCTCCTGAGGAAGGGGGAGGGGGGTAACTTGAAATTTTCGGTGTTAGTAGGGGGGGGGGGGGCTTGTAAAAGAATTCTATTTCGTTCAAATGGGGTTCTGATCAGAATAGAAACAACAGAAAACATGAACTCTATATCTAGCGCTAGCATTTAAACAACAGAAAACATGAACTCTATATCTAGCGCTAACATATAAACAACAGAAACATGAACTCTATATCTAGTGCTAGCATACAGACAATAGAAAACATGAACTCTATATCTAGTGCTAGCATAGAGACAACAGAAACATGAACTCTATATCTAGTGCTAGCATATAAACAACAGAAACATGAACTCTATATCTAGTGCTAGCATATAAACAACAGAAACATGAACTATATATCTAGTGCTAGCATAGAGACAACAGAAACATGAACTCTATATCTAGTGCTAGCATATAAACAACAGAAAACATGAACTCTATATCTAGCGCTAGTATATAAACAACAGAAACATGAACTCTATATCTAGCGCTAGTATATAAACAACAGAAACATGAACTCTATATCTAGCGCTAGTATATAAACAACAGAAAACATGAACTCTATATCTAGCGCTAGTATATAAACAACAGAAAACATGAACTCTATATCTAGTGCTAGCATATAAACAACAGAAAACATGAACTCTATATCTAGCGCTTGCATATAAACAACAGAAAACATGAACTCTATATCGAGTGCTAGCATATAAACAACAGAAAACATGAACTCTATATCTAGTGCTAGCATATAAACAACAGAAAACATGAACTCTATATCTAGCGCTTGCATATAAACAACAGAAAGCATGAACTCTATATCTAGTGCTAGCATATAAACAACAGAAAACATGAACTCTATATCTAGCGCTAGCATATAAACAACAGACATAAGACAACAGTAACTCTATATCTAGCGGCAGCATAAAACAACAGACATAAGACAACAGTAACTCTATATCTAGCGGCAGCATAAAACAACAGACATAAGACAACAGTAAATCTACATCTAGCGCCATCATACAGACAGAAGACAACATTAACTCTATATCTAGCGCCAGCATACAGACAGAAGACAACAGTAACTCTATATCTAGCGGCAGCATACAGACAGAAGACAACAGTAACTCTATATCTAGCGCGACTCAATCTATAGAAGCTGGTGCCGAGGCTGGGTTATCGATTTCTACCTGTTATTAAATGGCAGTTACCTAGGTAAATGTGCAGTTTTGTGCGACGTTACAGGTAGATGTTAAGGAGAAGCGGATGTGGAGGCATCATTTGTCTGAGACTTAACATTTCCATTCCAGGAATGGTAAAGTTTAGTGTTGGTTCATGGTAAAGTTTAGTATTATTTCATGGTAAACTCAAGTGTTGTGAAATGATAAAGTTTAGTTTTGTTTCATGGTAAAGTTTAGATTTGTTCAATGGTCAAGTTTTGAAATGTTTGTTGGTAAAAATCTAGTGTTGTCTCATAGTAAAGTTTAGAGTTGGGTAGTTTCTTGGTTAAGTTTAGAGATATTCTCTGGTAAAATTTTGTGTTGTAGCATGATTAAATTTAGTATTGTTTCATCGTTAAGCTTAGTATATTTTAGTGGTAATGTTAAGTTTTTTATTTCATTGGTAAAATCTAAGTGTTGTTTTATGGTTAGTTTTAGACTTGTTTCTTTGTAAAGTTTAGAGCGGTTACTTAGTAAAGTTTAGTGCAGTAGAGTGTTTTAAAATTATATTTTCACCTCAAGCAAAGTGACATTCAAATGCTATTCTTACTACAGTAACTACTTACATACATACACGCTTACACCCTTGCACATAAACATAGTATAGTGTATGTATATATTGTATGTATTTTACTGTATACATAGTATACAGTAAAAAGAACAACATTATTTTCAAATGTATATGTCTTTATCCGTTATACATATTCATAAAAATAAAAGCAAATTATTTGTTTTAATATTTAGCTGAGATGTTTTTTATTAAATCGTTGACACCTTTTGATTAATTTTACTACATATTCTTAAAAACATAATTTTCTTACAAGTAAACTAAATTAAAGTAAATTTAAAATCCATTTCTCAGCTTTCAAGTAAATTAAATAAAAAAAAAATAAAAAAAAAATCCATTACTCAACTTTACTAAACGTATTACCTCCGCAACTGATATTTCTAATTTTCAATTAATCTGTGAGTGCGTGTGTAATCGTATACACAATTTGGTAAAGACACTACTCGACGCTAAAATAAAGCACTGTTTACTTGACGGAAATAAAATGTCAAACATTCATCAAGAAAAAATTGATTTTAAGTTAAAAAAATATTATCTATGTAAGTAATGAAAATGAAATGAGATCTTCATTACAGCAACACTGAAAAAAAAACAACGAAAAAATTAATGAAAAAAAATAACTTTGATCTTTCAGATTACTTTTGCTAGGAGGTATCAAGAAAACAGAAGTTGTTGTATGATTCCGCAAGGTAGTGATTGTTAGAACATTACACATTGCCTGCCATTTTGTCTGATTCTGTGATTATCTGCCATTTTGTCTGGTTTTGGGATTACCTGCCATTTAACCAGGCTTTGGGATTATCATCTAACATTTTATCTGGCTCTGGGATTAACCAAAGCAGGACGCCTTCATGCCATTTCCGATCAACAAGCTGGAAATTATTGACGTCAAGGCCAACGACATCATGGGCTGTTCAGAGTCGACCCGGGTGTGTCTCAAGTTCACCATCGTCTTCTTGAACATACCCATCATTGTAAGTTGACCGCACTAAGTTCTATGTTCCTCATCGTTTGCTCTATGTCGTAGTCTATGTGCTATCATAACTTATTCAATTTAAAATACGTAACACTGTTGTGTGCAAAGTTAGCTATTGTTAGTTCTAAGTCGTAGTCTATATGCAATCACAACTTACTCAATTTAAATACGTAACAGTTTTGTGTGTAAAGTTAGCTATTGTTTGTTCTAAGTCGTAGTCTATATGCAATCATAACTTACTCAATTTAAAATACGTAATACTTTTGTGTGCAAAGTTAGCTATTGTTTGTTCTAAGTCGTAGTCTATATGCAATCATAACTTACTCAATTTAAAATGCGTAACCCTTTTGAGTGCAAAGTTAGCCAATGTTTAATTTAAGTCGTATATGCAATTGGTATTTTTTTATATATATTACATTAAAATTGAAAATTGGGCATTTAATGCTTTAGGGTTGTTTTGTGGTTAAATTTAGTATATTTTAGTGGTTCAGTTTCGTCTCTGGTATTATATCTAAATACACACATACACATAAATACACACACACACACACACACATATATATATATATATATATATATATATATATATATATATATATATATATATATATATATATATATATATGTGTGTGTGTGTGTGTTTGTGTGTGCGACAGTCCGGAAAAAAGTTAATAGTTACGGTGTATGATTTTTGTTCCCTAAACCTTTACTCGATGCCAATAAAATTCCCCACATATATATGGTCATTTATATGTATGTGTGTGTGAACTGGAGACTTTCGAGCGCTCTACCGTACAAACACACCATACCGTACAAACACACCATACCGTACAAACACACCATACCGTACAAACACACCATACCGTACAAACACACCATACCGTACAAACACACTATACCGTACAAACACACTATACCGTACGAACACACCATACCGTACAAACACACCATACCGTACAAACACACTATACCGTACGAACACACCATACCGTACAAACACACCATACCGTACAAACACACCATACCGTACAAACACACTATACCGTACGAACACACCATACCGTACAAACACACCATACCGTACAAACACACCATACCTTACAAACACACCATACCTTGTGAGGACTGATACAGATTTACAATAGTAAGACTTCTTTCTGACATGTACCTACCTGCATTCATTTAGGATGGTTTACTTATACATACCGTCTAAATAGAATTTTACTTTTAATCCTGAAAATGCGGCTCTTTAATTAAAGGTGTTTCGAGGGAGTTTTTTTAATGGTAGATTGCAGGGGTCGGCAACCTTTTGAGAAGGAAGAGCCAAAAGTTACAATTTTCCAAATTTCCCAGTTTTTAAAGAGCCACTAACATATTTTTTTTTCAATATTTTGTTATTTGATAAGGATTGGAAAAATAAATTTAATTATTTTTTTGAAATAAATAGCATTAAATATGAACTGATATTGATTCATATAAAACATAGAAATGTTTCGCACAAAAAAGTGTTTTAGCTAACTCTGCTATGATAAAATTAGTAATCAAATAATATAACTATACAACAATCCCAATCAACTTTAGAAGTCAATAAATTTTTTTTTCTTTCTTTATGGAGATCACCGGCCCAGTAGGTGTCTCCCATTAGCCAGGCAGGCCTCAACAAATTCCGACAAACTGGCTTGGGTATTGGCAGTGGCGTAGCGAGGTCGGGTGTCACCCCCCAGAGGCGTAGCGACACCTTTCAATTTTCGATTTGCACTCCCCCTTCAAACTTTCGATTTGCACCCCCCTCAAACTATTGATTTGCACCCCCCCTCAAACTTTCGATTTTCACCCCCCTCAAACTTTCAAATTGGCTCTTATAAGACTATTTAACACTCGAATTAATCACTTAACTAAGTGGAATTATCATTTTTCTCTATATATTTTGCTATTTTTTGCCTTGGTGTCACCCCCCTAAATGGTGTCACCCGGTGCGGTCCGCCCCCCCGCCCCCCCCCCCTCGCTACGCCCCTGGGTATTGGTTTGATTTCAGCATCGGTCGCCTCTGTCCTTAGGTTCTAACAGGGCTTATCTTCCACCCCACACATACCCCACAGTCCAGTACCTGGCTCAACTGTATGAAGCTAATAACTAAAATACAATGTCACTGATTGGTAAAAGAATACAGTCGGTATAAAATAACATACCCCATTTAAAGATATTCGAAAAAGTCGGCACTTTGGCAGTTGCAAACACGGAGTTTTTGCCATGGGGTTGGCCAAAACACGTATGTGGGGCTGGGCCTGATGCACAAGCGGCTGTCAGCTGTCCGTGTACTTTCTACCTCACCTATTCTCATTGTTCTCTGATGAGTGTTTTAATTCTGTTGAAAGTTGTTTTTCTTTACAGTATAATACTATTTTTAGTTGTGAAAATGAAATAATGTAAGCCTTAATTAGCAATAATTTTTTTCTGACGCAAACAAGAATTTTGGATTAAATAATAAGATGTTTAATTTTTGTTATTCATACATTTTGAATATGTTTGAAAGCACGCTTGATACTATTAAGCATTTTAATTATTTTAAAATAAATTTTTAAGAATTCTTCTACAAATTTTTTTTCAAAAGGTCTGTATTCATTTAAATGTTTTTGACAGAACAAGTCTATCACAACGTTTAACATTACCATTTTGGCGGTAGGTGTTTAGTTGATTCCTCATAGTGTCAAGGTTATGTCCCTTTCCGCAGTATTACTACGTTGTTTAGAGTGGGTTTAAAAATAAAATATACGTATGGGCCTCCTTGAAACATTTACTCTTACGAAACACATTACATAATATGTTATATATCAACAAGACCACACCTTATCTGGCTAACGACTGTTTGATGCCAAGTAAAATTGGTAATAAATGCTTTTTTTTTACCTACTTGAAGATAGTTAATCAATACCTAATGGTGTTTTCAACTGGCTTTAGCTTGAAGATAATTTGATTCATAATAGTGCATTTAATTGCCTTTCATTTTTAACTGGATTTCATTAGCTTGAAGATAATTTGATGCAAAGTGGTATATTTAACTGGCTTTCGTTAGCTTGAAGACAATCTGATTCACAATAGTGCATTTAATTGCCTTTCATTAGAGTGAAGACAGCTTGGCGTCTAAAGACGTATGAAGACAATTTGTCGTCTAACGACATCCGTACCTATTTGAAGACAATTTGATAACCCAACGATCCTTTTATTTTTCAGGTGATCGGTGCCGTGTCTTTAGGTATCGGGGTCTGGGTCATAGTGGACGATACGTCATTCTTTGACCTAGCCGCCAGCATACTTGACCTTGAAGTTCTGGGACAGGATGTTCTGAGGCAGGGCGCCGTCGTCATGGTGACGGCGGGGGCGGCCATGATTGTTCTGGCGGGGTTAGGCGTTGTCGGCGCTTTAGCTATGAGCTCGTGTCTTCTTGTGACGGTAAGTTTAGTGTGTGGGCTGTTTAGTGGGGGTTAGTTTGTGAGCGGTTTAGTGTGTGGGCTGTTTAGTGGGGGTTGGTGTGTGAGCGGTTTAGTGTGTGAGCGGTTTAGTGTGTGAACGGTTTAGTGTGGGTTAGTGTGTGAGCGGTTTAGTCTGGGTTAATGTGTGAGTTGTAGGTCGTGTGAAGCGGACGTCATTTGGGAAGAGTTTCTTCCAGGCGTCTCTTCGGGGAATGGGGAGGGGGGGGGGACAGGGGGCGGACGGACGGAGCCCCCTCGAAGTAAGTCAATCGCCCCCCCCCTCTGAACGATAATTTATATTTATATAGACAATATATACCCCTTTACCAGTGTCCCCCCCCCCCCCCCCCAAAAAAAAATATTTCCCAAGTGCTCCACCCTCCCCCAGAGAAAAAAGTCTGAAAGAAACACTGCATGTGGAACATACAAGTGAGACATACACATCACGTGAGAGATTTGAAATGGACGGTGTGTGAGTTAGATGTGCTGCGTGGAGATTTGAAATGGACGGTGTGTGGGTTAGATGTGCTGTGTGAAGATTTGAATTTGAAATGGACGGTGTGTGGGTTAGATGTGCTGCGTGGAGATTTGAAATGGACGGTGTGTGGGTTAGATGTGCTGTGTGAAGAATTGAAATGGACGGTGTGTGAGTGAGATGTGCTGTGTGAAGATTTGAAATGGACGGTGTGTGAGTTAGATGTGCTGCGTGGAGATTTGAAATGGACGGTGTGTGGGTTAGATGTGCTGTGGAGATTTGAAATGGACGGTGTGTGGGTTAGATGTGCTGTGGAGATTTGAAATGGACGGTGTGTGAGTTAGATGTGCTGTGTGGCACTTTGAAATGGACGGTGTGTGAGTTAGATGTGCTGTGTGAAGATTTGAAATGGACGGTGTGTGAGTTAGATGTGCTGTGTGGAGATTTGAAATGGACGGTGTGTGAGTTAGATGTGCTGTGTGGAGATTTGAAATGGACGGTGTGTGAGTTAGATGTGCTGTGGAGATTTGAAATGGACGGTGTGTGGGTTAGATGTGTATGGAGATTTGAAATGGACGGTGTGTGGGTTAGATGTGTGGAGATTTGAAACGGACGGTGTGTGAGTTAGATGTGCTGTGTGGAGATTTGAAATGGACGGTGTGTGAGTTAGATGTGCTGTGTGGAGATTTGAAATGGACGGTGTGTGAGTTAGATGTGTATGGAGATTTGAAATGGACGGTGTGTGGGTTAGATGTGCTGTGTGGAGATTTGAAATGGACGGTGTGTGGGTTAGATGTGCTGTGTGGCACTTTGAAATGGACGGTGTGTGAGTTAGATGTGTATGGAGATTTGAAATGGACGGTGTGTGGGTTAGATGTGTGGAGATTTGAAATGGACGGTGTGTGGGTTAGATGTGTGGAGATTTGAAACGGACGGTGTGTGAGTTAGATGTGCTGTGTGGAGATTTGAAATGGACGGTGTGTGAGTTAGATGTGCTGTGTGGCACTTTGAAATGGACGGTGTGTGAGTTAGATGTGCTGTGTGGAGATTTGAAATGGACGGTGTGTGGGTTAGATGTGCTGTGTGGCACTTTGAAATGGACGGTGTGTGGGTTAGATGTGCTGTTTGGCACTTTGAAATGGACGGTGTGTGGGTTAGATGTGTGGAGATTTGAAATGGACGGTGTGTGAGTTAGATGTGCTGCGTGGAGATTTGAAATGGACGGTGTGTGAGTTAGATGTGCTGTGTGGAGATTTGAAATGGACGGTGTGTGAGTTAGATGTGCTGTGGAGATTTGAAATGGACGGTGTGTGAGTTAGATGTGTGGAGATTTGAAATGGACGGTGTGTGAGTTAGATGTGCTGTGTGGCACTTTGAAATGGACGGTGTGTGACTTAGATGTGCTGTGTGGAGATTTGAAATGGACGGTGTGTGAGTTAGATGTGCTGTGGAGATTTGAAATGGACGGTGTGTGAGTTAGATGTGCTGTGTGGAGATTTGAAATGGACGGTGTGTGGGTTAGATGTGCTGTGTGGAGATTTGAAATGGACGGTGTGTGAGTTAGATGTGCTGTGTGGAGATTTGAAATGGACGGTGTGTGAGTTAGATGTGCTGTGTGGAGATTTGAAATGGACGGTGTGTGAGTTAGATGTGCTGTGGAGATTTGAAATGGACGGTGTGTGAGTTAGATGTGCTGTGTGGAGATTTGAAACGGACGGTGTGTGGGTTAGATGTGCTGTGTGGAGATTTGAAACGGACGGTGTGTGGGTTAGATGTGCTGTGTGGCACTTTGAAATGGACGGTGTGTGAGTTAGATGTGCTGTGTGGAGATTTGAAATGGACGGTGTATGAGTTAGATGTGCTGTGTGGAGATTTGAAATGGACGGTGTGTGAGTTAGATGTGCTGTGTGGAGATTTGAAATGGACGGTGTGTGAGTTAGATGTGTGGAGATTTGAAATGGACGGTGTGTGGGTTAGATGTGTGGAGATTTGAAATGGACGATGTGTGAGTTGGATGTGCTGTGTGGAGATTTGAAACGGACGGTGTGTGGGTTAGATGTGCTGTGTGGCACTTTGAAATGGACGGTGTGTGACTTAGATGTGCTGTGTGGAGATTTGAAACGGACGGTGTGTGGGTTAGATGTGCTGTGTGGAGATTTGAAATGGACGGTGTGTGAGTTAGATGTGCTGTGTGGAGATTTGAAATGGACGGTGTGTGAGTTAGATGTGCTGTGTGGAGATTTGAAATGGACGGTGTGTGAGTTAGATGTGCTGTGTGGAGATTTGAAATGGACGGTGTGTGAGTTAGATGTGCTGTGTGGAGATTTGAAATGGACGGTGTGTGAGTTAGATGTGCTGTGTGGAGATTTGAAATGGACGGTGTGTGAGTTAGATGTGCTGTGTGGAGATTTGAAATGGACGGTGTGTGAGTTAGATGTGCTGTGTGGAGATTTGAAATGGACGGTGTGTGAGCTAGATGTGCTGTGGAGATTTGAAATGGACGGTGTGTGAGTTAGATGTGCTGTGTGGAGATTTGAAATGGACGGTGTGTGGGTTAGATGTGCTATGTGGCCGATGTCAAGAGTTAAAGCCGTCCACGAGACTGACAGACAATTTGACAGGCATAAATTGAAAGAAGAAGTCATTGTAAGACAGAATCAAATTAAAACAGATGTTATTTTAGAGCTTTGGAAACTGATTTCATGTTAAACAGACGTCAATTTGTAATTGTTTCTGCAACTTACTAATATAAATATTGTCAACTTCCCCAGTATGTTGTGACACTCATACACTCGCTGTCTTCCCTCCACAGTATATTGTGACATTGATATAAACATTGCCACATTCCCCAGTAGGCCCTATGTTGTGAAGCTGATATAAATATTATCACATTCCCCAGTACGCTGTGACGCTGATATGAATATTGTAACATTCAACAGTATGTTGTGACGCTGATATTAATATTATCACATTCAACAGTATGTTGTGACGCTCATATAAATATTGTCACATTCCCCAATATGTTATGACGCTCATATAAATACTGTCACATTCCCCAATATGTTGTGACGCTAATATAAATATTGTCACATTCCCCAGTATGTTGTGACGCTGATATAAATATTGTCACATTCCCCAGTATGTTGTGACGCTGATATAAATATTGTCACATTCCCCAGTATGTTGTGACGCTGATATAAATATTGTCACATTCCCCAGTATGTTGTGACGCTGATATAAATATTGTCACATTCCCCAGTATGTTGTGACGCTGATATAAATATTGTCACATTCCCCAGTATGTTGTGACGCTGATATAAATACTGTCACATTCCCCAGTATGTTGTGACGCTGATATAAATATTGTCACATTCCCCAGTATGTTGTGACGCTGATATAAATATTGTCACATTCCCCAGTATGTTGTGACGCTGATATAAATATTGTCACATTCCCCAGTATGTTGTGACGCTGATATAAATACTGTCACATTCCCCAGTATGTTGTGACGCTGATATAAATATTGTCACATTCCCCAGTATGTTGTGACGCTGATATAAATATTGTCACATTCCCCAGTATGTTGTGACGCTGATATAAATACTGTCACATTCCCCAGTATGTTGTGACTCTGATGTTGCTGCTGACACTTGAAGTTGCAGTCATCATACTTGGTGTTGTGTTCAAGTCTGAGGTGAGTTTATAGGTGTTGTGTTTATTTGTGTTGTGTTTAGTTGTTGAGTGTTGTGTTTAGGATGAGGTTGCAACTGTGTTTAGATGTTGAGTGTTGTGTTTATATGAGGTTGGAACTGTGCTTAAATGTTGAGTGTTGTGTTTAGGATGAGTTTGGAACTGTGTTTAGTTGTTGAGTGTTGTGTTTAGATGAGTTTGGAACTGTGTTAAGTTGTTGAGTGTTGTGTTTAGCAACAAGTTTGAACTATGTTTAGATGTTGAGTATTGTGTTTAGCATGAGGTTGGAACTGTGTTTAGATGTTGAGTGTTGTGTTTAGGATGAGGTTGGAACTGTGCTTAAATGTTGAGTGTTGTGTTTAGGATGAGGTTGGAACTGTGTTTAGTTGTTGAGTGTTGTGTTTAGATGATGTTTGAGCTGTGTTTAGTTGTTAAGTGTTGTGTTTAGATGATGTTTGAACTGTGTTTAGTTGTTGAGTGTTATGTTTCTTTTGTTGAGTGTTGTGTTTATTTGTGTTGTGTTTAGTGTTTAATTTAGCTGGCTGTTCTGTTAAGTCATTGAGTGTTTTGGTTATGGTCTGGTTGTTGTGTATAGTTCAGGGGTCGGCAACCTGCGGCTCGCGAGCCGCATGCGGCTCTTTTGATATCAAGATGCGGCTCTCCAGCTCCTTGAACAAATACTAATAATCTTAATAAAAAAATAAAATATTTGAAATAAAAAAATATTAGTGGCTCTTTAAAACCAGGGAAATTTTGAAAATTGTAACTTTTGGCTCTTCCGCTTCAAAAGGTTGCCGACCCCTGGTATAGTTGATTAGCATGTTAAATTTAACTGTAATTTACATTTTTTTACTCGAGACTGGTGTTGCTAATTTATTCTCATAAAGAACATGTGATATGTCAATGACGTACAGTCACTTCATAACCTCTTTTTAATTTGTGTTTTTGATATTGTAAAGTAAAAGCCAAGTAGCCAAGGTGCGATGCAACATATATTCTATTGAATAAAATAAACATCTTTAATTTGTCTAACACATACTTAAGTGACACACGTGTGTAAGTTAACGTAAATAAAAATAACTTAATTATATTATATGTTTTAGTGGGAATCTAAAGCCAACAGTGTATTGACGAATCGCCTCAACTCGCACTACGGAAATCCGAGTGATCTCCCCTTCACAAGAACCTTTGACGCTCTACAAAAGAAGGTAAAAACTTTGTTATTCCCCTTTAACGAACAACATAGGGCATGTCCGCATCATGTGTTTTTGTTGAACTAGGTGCCAGGCTAAATAAAAGGCTTTACTGGGTTGTACCCCGTGGACGCCGGCTTATAGAAAGACTTAAGTGTCGATATGTTTAGTGTTTAACTTACTTAGAATCTTGAGATGTAACAGTGACATTTTACTACACACTGTCCCATACGCAGGAATGGGGGGGGGGGGGGGGGGAGGATAAAAATGTATCCATATATATATATATATATATATATATATATATATATATATATATATATATATATATATATATATATATATATATATATATATATATATATATATATATATATATATATATATACATATGTATATATACATGTATACATATGTATATATATATATACATATATATAAATATATATATATATATTTATTTATATATATATATATATATATATATATATATATATATATATATATATATAGATATATGTACACCTGCTCACGCACACACAGTCACACACACATGCACTCACGCACACACACACACATAATGATTTTTTAAGAGCATAATTTTGTTGTTTTCGTTATATACATTTTTTTTTCAAAAATAGACATTAAAGTGACTAAGTCGTCAATAGAATTGCAGCAACAACGTCCATTGGGATATGGGCTATAACTCATTACCTTCCCCTCCCCCCCCCAAGCACCACCTACGCCACCCCAATTTTCCATTTGACTCCCCAGCTCGGGTGCTGTGGCTGGAATGACGGGAAAGACTTCAAGAACGTGAGCAGACAGACGTGGAACACAACACTGCCCAACGGTCAGCAGCGCATGGTGCCAGACTGCTGCTGCATGGCCGGTAACTCTACGACCGTCTCGGACTGTGTGGTCAGCCCGTACAACAGTTCCCTGTACATCACAAAGGTAATATCGTCTGGTCACTAGCGTAAAGACAATAACAGAATCTTACTTGAAAATTTATGAGAAAAAAAAATATATGTATATATATATATATATATATATATATATATATATATATATATATATATATATATATATATATATATATATATATATAGGTGGGGTTATATATATAATATATATATGCATAAAAAATATATATATATAGCCCCACCCCTATATATATATATATATATATATATATATATATATATATATATATATATATATATATATATATATATATATATATATATATATATATATATATATATATGCCCATAAGCCTACTCACCCTTTCCCACTGAAAGAAGTGGCACCTACATCTAACAATTTTGTTGCTGTGTTCTAGTTATAGGAACTAGTAGTATAGATGGTCTAATGATAGTTTAGTTAAACAAAGTTAATGTTTGAATGTTACTTTAATGCCCAGACAACTTTGCTTCCTCCGAAATTCCGTTGACTAGATCTGTATGTCTCAATGTCTTAAAGAAAGAAGTGTTACTTGAACTAGGGTATATCCTTGAAATTTTGACCGGAAAACTGCACACACAAAAGTGCGCATGGGCATTTTTGTTTTCTTAAATCGAGCAGTTATAGACATAAACAAAGAATGACCACATGTACATTGTAACATATAAATATAACAAATAGAAATATAACAAAATTTAAAAAATTAGTATAATGCTTTAGTTGGTTTTTTGCGCATTTTTCTGCTTACACAGTTTTCCGTTGCGCAGCTTTCCTTTTGCGCATTTTTTTCTGGGAAACGTTTGAGAGGTTTTGTTTTGGAAAGTGTTAAGATTAAGTTTACATCTGGAACATGATAGTCCCAAAACGGTTTTAGTTTTAAAAAAGACGTCAAGGTTAGGCTGAAGTCTAGCATTAAGACCGAGTAGGCTATTACAGTCTAGCACTACAATAACTAATCAGTAAATATTCTACATTCTCTACTAATTTGTTCCTTCGTTAGGGTTGTCGTGCCGCTGTGGAAGATGAGTTCAAGACTTATCAGTGGGTCGTCATAGGCGTCACCATAGCGGTGCTTTCTTTTCAGGTAAGTAGATCAGTAGATAATCAAAGGCGTCACTATAGTGGTACTTCATTTCACGTAGGTAGATCAGTAAATAATCATAGGCGTCACCGCTTTCTTTCAGGTAGTTAGATCAGTAGGTAATCAAAGGCGTCACCATAGCGGTGTTTACATTTCAGGTAGGTATTTTAGTGGATAATCATAGGCGTCACTATAGTGGTGCTTCATTTCAGGTAGGTATTTTAGTGGATAATAGTGTTGCTTACATTCCAGATGGGTATATCAGTATATCGCCATTGAGGTAACAGCACATACTATTAATACTTATCATATAAAATAAACAAATCCCTACAATTTAACATAAATTCAGATACACACAATTCAGATAGAAAAAAAGCTTTTTTCTCTAGTAAACACACTAATATCAACCTATTCCATACAAAACACCATATAGAAACTGATGCCATAGATAAATCACTTGTCTCTTTACAGTTTATCGTCATCGTCCTCACGCTGGTGCTTGTGGTCCATAACGTCAAAAACAAATACGACATGAGCTGAGTTATATTTAGCTCCGGGAAAACCAGCTGTGATAAAAAAAAAGATTTTTTGTATGCATGAAAAAAAGTAATTTAAAAAGGTTGTTAAAGACAACGAAACAAGTATTTTAATATTTTTTTTTTATAAAGAAAGCTTTCAATTACAAACGTGCACAAATTGATGGCTAATCTTGACGTAGTACACCATTAGTTGATACAAAAATCAGTTTTGCAATCTTGTATGTATGTATGTCTGTCAGTGTGTATGTGTGTTTGTGGATGGATGCGTGTACATACGATAACAGGAGATGGTTTCATTTAGGTGGACAAAATTTCATGTATATGTATTACATCTTTCAGAGCGATTTCCAGTAATTGGACATGATACTTTATTTCCGATTTCTCAAAACCTATTAAGTTTGATAATCTTACATCAGCCTATTCTAATAACTTTATGTTTTTTTTTCTCGATAAATAAATGGCTTTGTTACAAACTTACCTAACAATTCTGTACCTCGAATCCGCTTATATAAAAATATACGTGGAAGTTTAAGAGAGCCCGCGTTTAAAATTTTTTCTTTAGATTAGTATTTATGGCAAACGGTTGGTATAGGCAGTGTATTAAAGTAACTACACTAGTATTATGTTGCTTTGTAAGGCAAAGATATGGTATAGGTAGTGTATTCAAGTAACTACTGTAGTATTGTGCTAACTTTTTATATTGTATTCTGTCTTGGTTAAGTACAAGTTTACTGTAAATCTATTAAAAGTTAACTCGCGTTCAGTTACATATTATGCAGTATTTGGTGCTTTAGTTCTCGTGACATATAATTGATTTACTTACTCTTAAATGTCGTTCGAAAGTCAGAACAAATGTGAAATGTAGGTCGAATCAAACCTCTAGACGATAATTATTATCACCATACACAAATAGCGTCAATTCTTAATTATTTGATTGTTTTCTTTCAAAGAAGGGGTATTTGGACTACAGTGGTGGGTGCTAGCCCCAGTGGCGTCTCTAGGTCGGGTGTCACCAAGTGCGGTAATTGGGGGATGTCGCCCCACCCACCACCACTAATAATGCATTTTGGAAATGAAGCAACCTCTTTCATCTACTATTTTACTTTTTAAGTGGATAAAAATATTCTTTTGACAGTAAATTTTAGTAAACTTTACGTTTTTTTTGACATAGTGTCACCTCGTGAATGATGCAACTTGGTGCCCCCCCCCCCCCAAAACCAAAACTCACGCCTTGTGACACCATAGAAGTATGGTGTATTAAAAGAGTGATGTAGTACGTAAATAACTACAAACATAATTGCAGTATCTTTTTGCACGCACCATAGCTAGTTGCACTCAGCGACGTTGTACAGACTTGAACCCGTGATTTGAACTCGAGACTTTAGGGTTAGCGGTCGTGAGCTCCACAATCCGACCACGCTGCCCCCCCCCCCCCCCACCCCCTTTACTGTACTGTAATAGATATAAATGTTTGTGTTAACTAATGAACATATTAAATGTTTCTAAATTTTATTTACTAGCTCTTAAGAATTTCATAAAACATTATTTATTGTGGATAAAAATAAATAAAATACCCTAATTTTTCGACAGTTACGCTCTTGTGAAAAAGTACTGATAAACTATAAATAAACTATTTAAAATTTGTGTATAAGTGTTATGATGTGCCTTACAAATTAAATTCTCCTCTCTTCAATGCTAGAGAAAGAATAAAAAACAACAGAATTTGCTACCATCTGTGGAGCTGGCTTCGTCGATAGAGAAGCCTACCCATACTTTTTTAGCCGTAACTTAAATTAATTAGAATTCCAATATTTAATTAAAAGCTTACTTTAACTGATGATTTTTTTTTTCAGTCTGGTTCTGAACAGGTAGTAGAAAGGTACCTTTTCAAACCTGATGGTCCATATGGCAGGTGAAGCAGAGTTCACCTTTTTCGGTGACCACGGCATATGAAGGAATAGTGTGGTCAGCACTATGCGCAGCCGTCTTTACTTTTCATAACGTGAGTCAGGTACCAATCAGCTTCCGGCTGGTAACGGGAGATAATCTCTGAGTCAAAACAAACAACACGGTTATTAATAACCGGATCAATCTTTGCTGGAATAACAGCCACGCCTGTCTTGACAGCCGACAATAACCATGACACTCCACACAACAACTGTCCATGACCACCCCACACAACAACTGTCCCTGACCACCCCACACCATCACACTTTACCACCCCACACAACAACTGTCCCTGATCACCCCACACCATCACACCTTACCACCCCACACAACAACTGTCCCTGATCACCCCACACCATCACACCTTACCACCCCACACAACAACTGTCCCTGATCACCCCACACCATCACACCTTACCACCCCACACAACAACTGTCCCTGACCACCCCACACAATCACCCCTAACACCCCACACAACAACTGTCCCTGATCACCCCACACCATCACACCTTACCACCCCACACAACAACTGTCCCTGACCACCCCACACAATCACCCCTAACACCCCACACAACAACTGTCCCTGACCACCCCACACAATCACCCCTAACACCCCACACAACAACTGTCCCTGACCACCCCACACAATCACCCCTAACACCCCACACAACAACTGTCCCTGACCACCCCACACAATCACCCCTAACACCCCACACAACAACTGTCCCTGACACCACCCCACACAACAACTGTCCCTGACCACCTCACACCATCACACCTTACCACACCACACAATCACCATTGATTACCCCACACATCTGTCACTGACTCCCCCCCCCCAACAAATCTCCATGATTCTCAACACAACAACCGCCCCTGACCCCCGAAAACAGCCACTCCCACCCCTTCTAAAACAACCACACCTGCCACCCCACACATGTGCCCGTTAATCCACACCCACGAAACCCCAAACATGACTCAACACACACCTTCACAACCAACCAACGCCGCACTTATTTTTATGTTGCCAAGCAAATCATGTAAGGGGGAATTTTTTTAAATATCACGAACACATACGGGAATACGCACTGAAAATAACCAAAGTTTATTTCTTATCTATGACAGCTAAGGTTTTTTTATTTACCCCGAGACAAACACCTTTTTATCAAGAGAGCGTAGCTGGTTACTATGTTGATCAGTTTAGACCAGTGGTTCTTAACCTATGTTCGATCGAACCCCAGGTGTTCGGTGGTTCAGTCTCGGGTGTTTGGCGGAGGTCAAACCGCACGCCTCACTCATATGATTCATGATCTGATTTTCTCAGTGCGGACTATGAAACTATTAGGAAGGGTTCGGTGAATGCGTATATGAAACGGGTGGGGTTCGGTACTCCCAAAACGGTTAAGAACCACTGGATCAGATAAAAAAAAAAGAGGTGGCGTTGATGTGTACCAGAACAAACGTAGGTAGAAAGATGTCACACAACACACACACTCAGGTCGCAAGTCGAACTTCCCATTTTGTAAACCGTCATGTTGAATATTTATCTCACACTTACACACACACACACACACATACACACACACACACACACACACACACACACATATATATATATATATATATATATATATATATATATATATATATATATATATATATAATATATATATATATAATATATATATATATATATATATATAATATATATATTATATATATATATATATAATATATATATTATATATATATATATATATATAGGCCTATATATATATATATATATATATATATATATATATATATATATATATATATATATATATATATATATATATATATATATATATATATATATATATATATATATATATATATATATATATATATATATATATGGCGAACTTTTATCTCTGCTCCTCCTCATTGTCATAAACATTCAGGCCCACTTAAACGACAAGACACTTCAGCCTCTTCCCCCCCCCCCCCCCCCCCCCACCCATCTCTAATTACAATTCATTAACTGAGCTTGATACAAAGTAGATATATTACAATAAAGACTTACAAATGCACATAATGCACAGTAGCTGTTATATTTCAGTGTAAAAAACTACACTCTGAAATGCAACAGTCTGACATCACACTTTGAGAACCTCTACCCGTCTACCACGTCTGAACTCCACCCCCCTCCAAGAATAAATGTGACGTCATTTATAAACGATCCCTAGCCCAAAAATCTCCAAACATTCAGGCACATTTTATAGACTGCTGCCATAAACCCGAACTCGAAACTTTCAACTTAGCTTCGACCGAATATTTTTCACACATAAAATACATTTGTACTCGACTGCCTTGAAGTTTGTTCTTGAATAGACAAAGGCTTTGAAGCAAATCTATAACGAAAACCAGGCTGAAATAGGAGCCAACTGTCTATATGACGTATAATAGGTTGGTACAAAAATACTCAATTGTATTGGAGGAAATACATCCAACAACTACAGTTAAGAAGAAGAAGAAGGACTCTGAATCTAATAATCTAATTAGGCGAAGCGCTGTAACTAAAACTTGTAATAATGTCATGTGAAATGGTAAAAACACAGCCAAGGATCGAATTAAGTGGAGATAATGGTTGAGGCCAGAGTTCCCTTGTGGGAGGGGGGGGGGAGGAGGAGAAGGGGCTACTGTAGAAGTGGAATTTATATAGAAAATATATACTTTTAACAGTGTCCGCCCAACGGAAATTTTAGTCCGCCCCCCACCCCCGAAAATTTCAAGTGCCTCCCGGGAGAAAAAAGTCTGGAAAAAACACTGGTTGAGGCCCAATACTTCACAAGGAGTAAAGAGGACAAGGTAGAAAATAGAAAGCGAAAATGGAAAAAGACGAACGGTGTTTTAAAACCTGTCCTGTGTATTTTGTAAATGATAACTGTGTAGAAATTTAAACGAAATAACAATAAGCACTAGATTACAGTTAAACGTTATTTAAAATGGTTAAAAAAACAACAAAAAGTTCATCTTTCAGCTAAAAGCACCATTTAACTGATATCTTTGATAAGAAATGAAGACCATTTAAATACATAAGGAAGAAGAATACATTTCAGCACATGACGAGTGTTTGTGGAGCTGGGGTGGGGGTGTGTTTGTGTTTTCATAACCTCCCCCCTCTCCATTATAAAACGAAATAAAATAGAAAGTATGACAACTGGTGAAGATCAAGCCCATGGCTTGAGCCTTGCTACGCCTTTTATCACAAACATCAAGGAAGTATGTGACGTTGTAAAGGAATCCTAAAAAAAGAAAATCGGGTTGTATATGAAGCATAGATTTAAATTTAGATAAATCCTGAGCAGGAAACGGGGCGTTTTACGTAATAAAGATAATTCCATTTTGAGTTTTAAAAAAGGAGGTTTGTCGGAAATCGCTGACTGTGAGCGTGTTGGGGGTACGATGGCAGCGGGGATCCAAGTCAAAACCGGATATACGGAAATATAGCTTAGTGTTTTTATGGTATACTATCAGTCAGATAGTTATCAACAGCGGAGCCTTGAGAGAAGAGTCACTAAACTCCTGCATGTAGTAGACAAAATGTAAAATGTGAATGACAAAACAATATCCTCAGGTTATGGTACCCCTCAACAACCTGCCAACAATACATTAGGGAAGTCCTGACCTATCTATGGCCATAGCTGCAATCAAAAGTTCTAGAAAATTCCAGGGCTTCTCAAGGAAAGTCGATCTCACTGTAACGCCTGACAATATAGACCCATGTCTTTAAGTAATTCGACCCAAGTGCATCTACAGGTTAAGGGGGATGCAGAGTTTTAAACAATTATCATTTTACACAAACACACACACACAAACAGACACACATTCACTTACACAGACAGACACACACACGCATATATGTATGTATAAATAAATAAATACATATATATATACACATACTTATATGTATATATATATATATATATATAAAATATATATAATATATATAAAATATATATATATTATATATATATATATATATATTATATATATATATATATATATATATATATATATATATATATATATATATATATATATATATATATATATATATATATATATATATGTGTGTGTGTGTGTGTGTGTGTGTGTGTGTGGTCATCTCTTTATTTTCTTACTTATGCCTAATTGACTGATTAATTATGTTATTATTTTGATCTGCCATATCTGACAATTATTAATTAAGTCACACATACGTCATAAAGGCTTGGTTGATTTAGTCCACACATATGACGTCAACTGTAGCCGATTATCTGTCTGTTTGCTGTTAGGGTGAAGCCACTGGTGAGATCTACAGATAAGGACCTGTTCTACCCCCTCTAAGTCAGCGGGTACTGGGGCGTTAGCACTGATTCTTACAAGGTTTTTAAGTATCTATTCGGGGTTTAACTTTAATAAATGACCCGAGCTATCAAACTTTGCAACCACGCGATAAGTAAAACTGGGATTTAGTTCAAATACCAAACGGGTGTTGACTGCCTTAAGGTACGCTGAAAGCCTGCGGCTTGCGAGCGTCAGCAGGCCTTAGATTAAATACGATCTAGATCTAGTTATTTGGAGCTTGTTTTTGTCCGATTCTAACACGACCTCTGTCTACACTATGCTCATAGATTTGGTGCGCTCCTTTGGTGCGCATGTTGTTTTGGTTATGCTATTTGTCAGAGTTAAAATTAAAACATAGGCCTATATACGAAAATCAGATAAATGTATATGACGCATTAACAGAGTTTCTTCCAGGCATCTCTTCGCCCCCCCCCCCCCCCCAACGAGTTGGAATTTATATAGTAAACATACACTTTTACTAGTGCTAGCTCCCCCCCCCCCCCGAAAAATGTTGACCGCCCCCCCCCCCCCCCCCCCCCGAAAATCTTAAGTGCCCCCCCCCCCCGAAAAAAAATATCTGGAAGAAACACTGCGCATTAAAAAAACACAATACATTATTTACCTTAAATATATACATTCAATATTATTGAAATAACTATAAATAATAGTGTGGGTATAATGTAGGATAGTCAGTTGCAAATACGTATTAACACTATCCACTTTTAGCGTAGTTATATTTGAGTATTTTATATTAATCGATACATAGCATATGTGTAATCGTGGTAGACCTATTTATATTTAGAGACGTACTTATTAGTTTGCTAACTTTTTCAATACAAAGTTTGAACATTTAAAACATATTATTTTACTTCTTTCAGTACATAAAGAAAAGCTTATCCTTACAAAACTTTCTATTAATTCATTATTACTTTAGATAACTAGTCGAGAAAAAAAATATAATTATAATTAGAGAAAATAGGGAAAAGCTTATCATTTTAAAAGTTGTTATTAATTTATTATTACTTTAGACAGCAAACAGAGGGTCTAAATTTATAATTATACAAACTAGAAAACATAGGATAAAAGCATATCATTACAAATATTTTTATTAATTTATTATTACTTTAGACAACCAGACAAGGAAATAAAATTGTAAGTATACAAACTTGTCAAAACAGGGTAAACAAACACTGTTGTCAAGGGAGGGAACCAATTTGTACTCGGTCAACTATATGAACAGTTTGATTACCGGTCGTGCATGAACCAAGTGGGCGTTGACAGATAAGACATGCTCCAATCTAGACGCATGCAACATGTGTTGTAAGCAGACGATGACTGTAGAACTCCAAGAATCAGTTAAGTCCACCCCCCCACCCCAGCACACACTCCTCATGCGCCTTACCCCTATATTCAGTTTTATTCTAGATAGACTGAGCTAAACATTGAGTTCAATTTTAGAGAAAGCAGACCAAATATTTTCCCCTTAAAAGTTAAACTTGATATACAGCTAATCTATTTCGAAGTGTCTACTCGGAAGAAGATTTTTCTCCCCAACGTCTCCACTTAGTCGGCAAAAGATAGCTCTGCGCATGAGAAGTGACCTATGGCTAGGGATAGGGCTAGAATGAGGGTTAGGGGTAGGATTAGGGTTAGGGTTAGGGATAGGGATAGGGATAGGATTAGGGCTGGGGTTAGGGATAGGATTAGGGATAGGGTTGGTGTTAGGGTTCTGCGGTTGTAAACACACGCATGCGCAGTACCATCGAAAACATCGCCGCGAAGGCAAGTCGTAGTTTCTCTCCATTGCGCATGCGTATCGATGCGTATCTTATTCCGGCTAGCATCGGCCAATATATTTTAGGGTATATATATATATATATATATATATATATATATATATATATATATATATATATGTGTGTGTGTGTGTGTGTGTGTGGATTTATATATATTATATTTATATGAATAGGCATATATACATATATATATATATATATATATATATATATATATATATATATATATATATATATATATATATATATATATATATATATATATATATATATATATACATATATGTGTGTGTGTATATGGATTTATATGTAATATATTTATATGAATAGGCTTATATATATATATATATATATATATATATATATATATATATATATATATATATATATATATATTTAAATATATAAACAGTGAGAGAGAAAGAGAGCAATAACAAGATTAAGACTAAACAGACTGAGTCACAGACGCCCAACGTCTATTCAGGCCTTGCCTAAATCCTAATTAAACCCTTGTGTGTGACTGGTCGAGTGGTTGCTAGTCACAACTTTCGAGATTTGCAAGCTTAAAACCTGTTTCTGACATGTACACATTTGAAATTATTCTTATCAGTTTCAAGATTTTAATTTAATGTCCAAATCCAGCGGTTCTCAAACCCTGATCTCACTGTAATCGTGTTTTTACATTTTTTGTGTGTTATAAATTGAGGCTACTAAACTATGTTTATAACATATCCCCTTGTATTTATTACTGCCGAGGTTAGATAAAAGTTGTACTCTACTTCACCAACTGTCTGTTTTGTTAGGAGTGGGACCTCTTTAGAAGACCTAGTGTAAAGAGCAACGTATCAGCTTATGCTTGTCTACACGTTTCATATAGGTTTGAAGTAACAAAAAATGAATCAATAGTTAAAAAAATATTTTTTGACCCGTTGATATATATTTTAACTATCCGTTATTTAGAAACGCTTATCGTAATGGCAGTGAAAACAAAAAGGTAGTTCGTTTAGTTTTATATCAGCTATTGAAGAGATCTTTGAAAAAACAATACTGCAAACCACATAACCAAAAGTATAACAGTTTAAAAAATCTTGTACGGAATGTGTAATTATTTTTTTCAAGTGTTTTGGTATAAGTTTGGTATTTCTGCTGTTAACACAACCCACTGAGCCTACGAGTGTTGTACATCAAGTTGACTTAACGTAAGTCTGTATTGTTGATTTAACCCACTTCCTATTGACACTTACCCTTATGAGCTATATATACATTTATGTCTAAATTTAAAAAAAGAAAGAACTGGTTTACAACGTATCTGTGTTGTAGCCTTATTGCCAAAACCAAGCAACCAAATTACCATAGACACTATGAAACGTTCATTTTTCATTGGCTCAGCCTCAGCCTCGCGTCCTAAGCTTGGGACTATATAAAGCCATCCCACAGAGGATCGTTCGTAATTTGCATACAAGCCTCTTCAAGGTAGATTTGAAGATTGTACCAGGCGTGTTTTAGTTACAGTAGGTCAAACGAGGATTTTTTTTTATTTCTTCATTTCAAATTGGAATAATATTTTTTTATAATAGATAAATAAATGATCATAAATATAGATTACAATTGTTTTTGAAACATTACTCAGCTCAATATAATAAACATCAAAAACAAAACTTTTTGTAGAAGCTAATGTATATTTTTTTCAATATTAAGGTCATCCAGATTTAGCAGACAAAAAACCATGGCAAAGGCTCTTTATTGTAAGTAATAAATAACTTTAATAATACTTTTTACCAAAGCCTTTTCGAATTTGTGTTTCATTTTGTATGATGACAGGTGTTAACTTTTGAAAAATTGCACTTTTCATTTTCAGTTATTTGCGCTCTTGCTGTCTTTGTAGGTAGGTGCATTTTGATTAAATTAAGACTACTACTTTAAATATATATATATATATATATATATATATATATATATATATATATATATATATATATTTGTATATATATATTTGTATATATATATATATATATATATATATATATATATATATATATATATATATATATATATATATATATATATATATAACACTAACACAAAACAAACACAAACGAAAACACAAAAACAAACGCAAAGACAAACCCAACCACAAACACAACGAAAACACAACACTAACGCAAACAAAAAAGCAAACGAAAACAAATCCAAACGCAAACACAAACCCAACCACAACCAAACAAAACCAAAACACACCAATAAAAAAACAACGCAAACATAACACAAACGCAAATACAAACACAAACGGAAACACAAAAACAAACGCAAACACAACCACAAACACAAAGAAAACACAAAATCAAAGAAAAAAGCAAACAAAAACACAAACGCAGAGAAAAAAAGCAAACGAAAACAAACTCAAACCCAAACCCAAATCCAAACGCAAACACAACCACAAACGCAAACCCAAACTCAAACACAAAGAAAACACAAACGCAAATATAAACTCAAAGTGTCCGCAGTCTAGCCCGCCTGATTCAACTTAGTAAACGGCAATAGTACCCAACTTATTCATAGTCTTTTGAACTCACTTACGCGAACGTAGGTACCATTGCAAACACAGGAAGGCCCGGGGCGCCAAATAGCACCATGTCGGGGTGCCGGAGGACGCCCGGATTTGATTTACTTAAAGACTATAGTAACCTTTCTTATCCTTAGTCTATCGCACTGTTTAAAACGAAATTATGCATCACAGCGCTCACATGATAGCCCAGGGCGCCAAATCGAACCGTGCAGGGGCGCAGGCGGTCGCGCCTGTTTCAATTTAGTGAACAAAATTATAATACTCCAAGCTTATGCGTAAATGGAAAGAAATAAACAAATCGGATTTGTAGGACCTGGCTTATTAAATGTTATTGATTTAAAAAAATTAATAGAAAACTGTATGTTCAGTGTATAGAATAAATAAAAGGCAGTATTAAAAATACCAACGACATTGCACTTAATCAATCCCCGATAATTATGTAATTATTTTTTTCCTAACACCAAAACAAAGTAATAAAAAGTTAATTCTTTCTTCCCCCAATTTAATGGGTTTTTTAAAGGGAAGTAACTGTGTTTTCCAAATCAAGGGACGTTATGAGAACTAAAGGACAAAATGCAAATACATTTCAGACACAATTTTAGACATTTTGTAAACGTTGATACACTTTTTTTTGTAATTTTATGTAATGTTCATAATTGAAAATTATTATTCTAAGTAAATAAAATGAAAATTGTTTTTAAAGACTTTCAATAGTAATTTTTTAACTCATAAATTTAGACCCTGAGCAATATAGTAATCTAACACTTAAATCCATTGAAGTATCCACGACAAACATACTACCACCATATCTTAAACTTACAGAATTGAGCTTTATATATATATATATATATATATATATATATATATATATATATATATATATATATATATATATATATATATATATATATATATATATATATATATATCCTCAACCCAGACAGATCCATTTCTTATATATATGCAGACGACAGAACATAAACAGCGAGAAGGACAACTCTTCAAATATGACACGCTGTACTCACCACTTAAACGAGTTTTGTCAATCCCTCCTCATCCGGATTCCAACACTATCATTTTACTTTAACCCCTTTTACTGATTATCCCTTAAAATTGGTATAACAACATATATAAAACAAATATGATAACCATGTACATACTTATTATTAATAATCTCATCCGGACAAAATGGTTTCATTAGATGATAAAATTTAGTAAAAAAGGTGTATACATTTGTAAATTCATCTTGATATTTTTTTTTAAGAACACTTAGAAAAATGTAAAATATGCTGATGTTGTTGCACTTGTTTTAAATTGCAAATTAAAAAAAAATATATTAAAAAAAAAAAATAAAAAAAAAAAAAAATATATATATATATATATATATATATATATATATATATATATATATATATATATATATATATATATATATATATATATATATATATATATATGTATATGTATAATATAAATTAAGATGACCATAGAAACACGTGTTACCTTAGAAGTATGACATTGGTGCTGTAAAACATTATTTTTTTAGTTTATTCTCGATCATCGTAAGTGGCGAAAACCGTTATCTTACCATGTATTCTTTTAAAGGCCTAGTTTACCATGTACGTGATCTAAAACATGTTGAAAATATGTATTGTCAAGTTACTTCAGTTTCACTAAAATGTTATTTTGGCAAATATAAAATTTTAATAAGTAGGCCCTTTACATAATTTTCAATGTTTAAAAAATATTTTTGCAGCAATCTTGGGCGTTGAAGGTGTTACAGAAGCAAGTAAGATTTTATGAACATTTAGAAACAAAACAAACCTACTTAATTTTAATGACTAATCTTTAGTTGATCATAAAAATAATTGTTGAATTTTTATCATATTTATTTAAATGCATAAATGCATTGTATATGAAAGAAAACACATAATTTATACATGTTAATATTCTATAAAATTCCAGTTTCTTCAGAGGATCACATAAAAGATCTTGTTAACGGTATAGGCGGAGAGTGTGGAGCCACGACATGTCACACTAAGATTCAGGACCTAAGAAAGTTGGACAGTAAAAGCTTGATTTGTCTGTGAGTAAATACTATCGTTTATTTTTTTACTTGCATAAAGAGTTATGCAATAAGTATCTTTGTGCTTGGTTAAAATATCTATTGTCCTGTTGTGATGTACCATATGTGCCTGAATTTCAGGTTAAACACTAGACCACCCGTCATCCTTTGGATAACTGTGGGTTTTGGAGGTCATCCATAAATGACAAATCACGTCTGTCACTTATCGTCAAAAAAAAAACAACCCAGACCCCCGCATAAAAAGACGTCACATCTCAGACGTTTTTTGACTTTTAAAAACACTGATTTTGGCCGCCATGGGTCTGACCACACTATTCATTCATATGCTGAGGTCACAAAAACAGGTCAACTCTACTTCACCTGCACAGTGTCCCCACAACTCAGACATGTTTTTGTCTTTTAAAACACCGATTTCGGCTGAGCATGGGTCTTACCACACTATCTCTTCATATGCTGAACTCTACACCTACCAAACTCTACTTCACCTGCCCGATGTCCCGCCAAGTCTAAGACAACTTGTTTTTATCGAATAAGAAAAGATTTCGGCCGAACGTAGCTCTGAACAACGAATCCCTTCATATGCTGAGGACACAGAAACAGGTGAACTTTACTTCACCTGCCCTGTGTCCCGCCAAGTTCCAATAGGCACCTTTATCAGTCACATCTAAAAATAAAAAGTAAAAATAAAATAAGATTGCCATGATGTTTCTCGAACCCGTGCCACCCGCATGGTAACCTATTACACTAACATTTTAGCTATCTAGGATCTTCGTATCAGCGACATATTTAGCTTTATATTATACTTTGAAATTTCATAAGACACTTGGTTTACGCTAATACGCTCGTATTATTTCAAATTAAATTTTATCCCAAATTAGCCAATGCCATAGCTAAACAAAGATTTATATAATATATTTAATGACTAACATAGTTTGGCTTGACCTAGATTTTAGAATTTAGATCTAGCATTGACTTTCCATTCCTCCTACAGCTGATCTATAGATCTAGGTGAAATTTATTATATACTTAAATTAGAAGAACTGTTGAAAATTGATAATAGTGTTGGAACATAATAAAAATAGCAAACGGACGTATCATGATAGCTATAGCCGACAAAAAATTAACTTTATAATGCGTTAAACTTTTGGATGGGCAACACAATCTTCTATGGAAGCCGCCATTATTGTTATAAAAAGTAAATATATCATGTGACGTCACTATAAGTAAAGTCATTATTCAGAACTTTTATAATTAAAGTAGTTTATCTACCAATGAATATATCAATAAATTAATTAACGTCCTTAAATAAATTTGTGATTAACAGTTTGATAAAAAAGAAAATTATTCTCTACCTAAATACGTATTTTACATCTCTACACAGATTCTCTCATTTAACTAAACAGAAAAACAAAAATATATATAAACTTATAAACAAGCTTGAGTTTTAGTAGTATAGATTGTCTTCAGACTCGCTTCTCCATAAAGTTTCCGCAGTTAGTGAGTATAAAGAGATTATCCCAATAGACCTATATTAAATGTTGTATGCTGGTCTCTTTGAGCTTCAAATCTGCCTAATATACAAAAGGCAAAGATGGTGCAAGCCGTAGTTAGAATAGTTAGTTTAGGTTTAAAAATGGAGTCAAGGTTGTTCACCAAAAATGTAAATAAAAGAGCGTAATTAGGTAATTCCGTTAAAAGTTAGGTTAAAGATGGGAAACCTGTGGTAGAAAAAAACACACGTAACCCTAGAAATAAAGACGCGATGTAAACGGTACGGTGACCTGCTCTTAAAGTGAAAAATGCAGGTCAGTAAATACACGGAGAAGTGACGAGGATGATGACGTAAAGAAGAGTTAACATCAGGACTAGATGGAAGAACTAGCTCAGGACAGATTTGCTCACGTTGTTTATCTACATCACACTGTGAAAGCCGCCGTACTTTATCTAAATGTATGCTACTCATAGCTTTTCATTGGAAAACCTTGTCTTACTAACAATATATATATATATATATATATATATATATATATATATATATATATATATATATATTATATATATATATAATTTGTGCAATATTTGGTGTCATTACGAATAAATATTTTATTTTTAATTATAAACTGACTATTAAATGTATTACTATTTTCTTTTTTTTTAAATGGCCAATAATAATTTAGGTCATTGAAAAGACTCAATGTTCACGATCCTTAAAATTGTTCCTACATATATATTCATGATAATGAATATTTTTTGACAAATTTAACTAATTGAAACTGATTTTTACAGTTCATTTATAGTTGTGAAGGACTGTTTTGATGGTTGCATTTCTGCAGAGAAGTCACAATACATGTCAAAGATTGATGATGCTCAAGAAATCTGTGGTAAGATTTCGTTTATATATATTGCAAAATAAAAAATAATTTTAAAAAATACTTATCTCGATAAAATAAATTTTATTTTAATATGCTCATAGTGCCGGTTGCCAAATGAAAAAAAATATTGTAATTTTGTTTTAAAATTTGGTTAATGTTTTCGGCTACCTTGTGATCGTTTAAGTTGTTACTTCACACTTTTCAACGTAAACTATTTGTGATGAGTAATATATAAGCAATACATTGGAATTCTGCTATGCCAAATTAAACTTTAAAAAAAATGTTTTTTAAAAGCGTTGATATTGACCGTTTTTCAAACAAAGTTATTGTTGTAGTATATTTACAAAATAAATTGTTTGCTAAGGGAATCCAATTTTTCCACAGATGGCTGCAGTACCATCAAGATTTCTGGAATGATTCTGCTTCTCGCTTTGCTTTTGAACTATATTTTCTAAATTACTGGTTGATTAGTATTTTCTTATTATTTGTACTTTCTTATTAAATAAATTAGAAATTAACTTTTTTATTTGCAGACAAAAGTTTTAATTTTTAATTTGATGTCCTTCTATTTTCAATTTGATAAAAATGAAAATATTTTAAAAAATTTAAAAGCCCAATTATTTAAATGTTTTATTATATTTTTTGCTGAAAATACTAAAGATCAAAAGTAATTTTTTTTATTTTTAAAACTATTTTAAAATAACAATGTCCTCAAAAAAGAAAAAAAATCTTACATCACGTTGAGAGGACAAAATATAATTTTACTTTCTGTTTTCTTTCACCATTATTTGATCTTTTTTTAAATCAATTTTATTTTTACTAGTAAAATACTTGAATTAAAATCTGCTAATTTAATTTTAGTGCTATTTATTTGCTGTTTGTCGAATTTTGAGAAGGACTATAATTGTAATTACCCAGTGTGTGAATTGAGACGCAGTCAAGTAATTGTTTCCTAGTCCAATAACTAAAAAAAAAATATGAGAAATTTAACAATATGCAAAAATTAAAATTTAGAATAAAAATTATTTTATTTATGGTTTAGTTGTTCAATCATTGTATTGCATTTTCAAAATAAGTATGAAGTCGTAATTAAAAGGGATATTTATATAGTTAATTAAAATTACAAACTAGCGTGATATCATTACAGAAGCAGCTGGACACTACTTCAATAAACTTTTAGCTGCGTATGAGCTCTACCACATTGATTCATTGGACAGTTACTTTTTTTTTTTTTACTTTATTCGATTTAAGTTTATACGTTCGTTTAAGAGAACTAATTGAACTCAACAATCTACAAAAAAAATAGTATTGCGGATTTCATCATACAAACAATACGTTTGAAAACAGAACACAACTATTACTAATATGAATAGCATTTAATTTGGCATTATTTAAATTTGACTTTATCATTGGGAAAACTAGTGTTTTCTCTCTAAAATTTAAAAAGACCTAATTAATCAAAGCGGGAAATCTTTTCGCTGCAAGACATTTAATCACGCCCAATTAATCAAATTCGATTGCCATAGAGTTGACAGGCAAGACTTTTAAATTAGTTGGTGCTCGTGTTTCAGTTATATAAAGTCCTAGAATCTAAATCCTTACTCGACTTAAGTACCTCTCTTCGATTTACCCAGCAGGAAGGGGATTACATCTGTACAATTTCAATTGGAAGTTTAAGATTAGAGAGCATTGATTATACACGATAAGATAATCAGTGGGTTTAGTAAACAAGAGTTTTAAGTCCTGCACAAAGTCTGATATCCTTAAGTAAAGAAAAAACACAGTGAAGAAACTTTTTGTGTTTAATTTAAGCTATTTGTACTAAAGATTAGTTTAATCAAAAATTAATATAGCTGAATAAATTGAACAATTTAATACATTTAAAAATTAATTTTCGTTGCTTACTCTTTCTAAAAACAATATATCAGCTCCATTTTGTGCCAATCCTAATATAGCAACCACTATTATTAATTTTTAAAAATAATTAAATTTTCATCAAACGGCATAATAAAAATGTCAAGTTGCGGGTTTCTGACAATATAGAAACAGACTAATGACCTTCCTAAAAATATTTCTAATATCTTCAAAAAAAGGTTTCTAAAAAACAGGAACTCATGTGTGTAGCATTACGGCCTTTTACGGGCTTACAATAGTTGCTGACATAGTCATGCTAATTACAATGCTGTCACTTTTAATTACTGTTTTCTTTGGGAAAATATTAACTTTACGATAACACATTTGTGCTTTTGTTAAAGTATGTCAACGGGTTCAATAACACTACAATCAATTTAATTTCCTTACTAATATTGACATTTGCATCGAATTCACAATATAAATTCACCAAAGCAATATGAAAAGCTGGCTATTTGGCTTAAGCTTATCAATCATATCTGACTCGACAGATAAAACATGCTGTCCAAAGATAACTATCTTGATAGAATACAAGCAACGTAACCCTGCTTAAGGTAAAGAAAAAAAAACCTAGATAAGTAGGATTTACCCGCATTCGATTCAATCTTGATAAGAATTCTACACGTTTTCAAAAATTCGACTTAGAGAAATATAGCTCCCTTTTTCTTACCATTGATAATTTTTGACGGTTGGATATTATATCCTGCTGATTTATACCCGTTTAGCTAAGTTCCCCTTTTCAAACCTGACTGTCCATGGGGCAAATGAAGTAGAGCTCACCTGTTTCTGTAACCGCGGTATATGATGGAATAGTGTCGTCAGCGCTTAGCACAGGCTCTTTTACTTTCCCTAACGTGAGTTAGGTACCCATCAGAGCAAGGTGGACTCAGTGACGTTTTACTAACTTGAACCCGGATTCGAACTTGCGAATTTCGTGTTAGCAGTCTAGCGCACTAACACTAGACCACGCCTAAAGTATGCACTAAAATACTCTGTTTTGGTCTTCTTTATACACTATTTGTGTGATAACATTCCTAAACCTTCTTAAAAACAATTGGTGTTACAACATTTAATTCACCCCCATTTGAACTAGATCCAAGATTGACGAAAACCTTAATCAATGTTTCTACCCTGTTTAGTTTCGTGGAGTAAAAACGAAAAAAAAAAACCAGGACCCAATTTTCAATCGACCTCAAACGACGTCAAACCAGTTTTATGAATCTATTTTTAACTTCTGCTCGACAACCAAGTCTCCACGCCTGTCAATACAAAAACATGTTTGTAACGTATCCATAACAACATGCTGATAAAATACAACTTAGAATTAGGTTACGATTCTCCATATCTAATTGGCTGAAAGTCTGGCAGCCACTACAGCAGAACGCTACATAAATTGGCGCCTTTCGTCTCGAGAAATTCTACACAGGTTTTCTGTTTGTGGAAGATTCTATCAGGTATATATCAAACATTTTATATATATATATATATATATATATATATATATATATATATATATATATATATATATATATATATATGGCTTTCGGGCATTTGTCGCATAGGGGCAAGTGTCCATTCGGGCGTTTGTCGCATTCGGGCAAGTGTACATTCGGGAAATTGGCCTTCGGGCAAACGGCCTTAGTTCCAGTGTCTTTCTGGAAAACGTCCGGCTTCCAGGGATATCAAATTCGAATTAAACTAATAACTTACACAGTAATTAATTATCGAGTGTAGATTTAGGTGAACCCGTCACTAAATTTTTAATTTGTATTGAAATCACGTCACTAAATTTCTAATTTGTATTGAAATAAATAAATAAGACATTTTTATTAAAAAATCATAATTTAATAGGTATTAGCATAAAATTAAATTAAAAAGGAGCTATTTTATGAGCTTTTACTTAGTTTACAGTTTCTATTTGTCTGTGGGTTTGTGGCAACTCTACTAACTCAATTTTGACACACTTCTAATGCAACAGTTTCGTTCCAGATACGGTCATTTCCGATGACAGCGCTTTAATAAATTTTAATACTTACTTCATATCTAATTACATATTAAAATAGTCATTGAAAATTAATCTGAAGATTACTACATTTAATGAATAAGGGGAAATAACAAGTTGATTAATAGCGATTTTACTTGATCAGTAAGGTAAGCTGTACTCGTGAATATTTATAATTTTATAAATGACAACTGATTACAAACTCAAGTTAGGGGCAGAAAACTGTCGTTTAGAGTTTCTGATTTTATTGTGTTGGCGTCGATTTAATTAATATGAACCGTATTTTAAAATGAATTATGTCCTGTACTCAGTGGCGTAGCCAGGAATGGGTCATGGGAGGGGTTCAATTATATTTCCATATGTATAAAATCACATATATACATATACATATACATATACATATACATATACATATACATATACATATACATATACATATACATATACATATACATATACATATACATATACATATACATATACATATACATATACATATACATATACATATACATATACATATACATATACATATACATATACATATACATATACATATACATATACATATACATATACATATACATATACATATACATATACATATACATATACATATACATATACATATACATATACATATACATATACATATACATATACATATACATATACATATACATATACATATACATATACATATACATATACATATACATATACATATACATATACATATACATATACATATACATATACATATATATATATATATATATATATATGTATATATATATATATATATATATATATATATATATATATATATATATATATATATATATATAGGGGTGTGAGTCCATGGGAGGGTCTATATCCCCCCTAACCCCCCCCCCCCCTACCTACGCCACAGGCTGTACTAACAGGTTTTCAAAATAGTTTCATTACTTCATTTCGTCTACTCTAGATCTATATCTAAACCCAAAAAGTAGAATGTACAACGAGTATAAAAACCTTTATAATAATAAACTTAAATACACTGGTAATAGAAGGGGGTGGGGGGAATTTCCTCTCTTAAATTTTAATGAAGGCTAAGTTCTATAAATGTGTAAGAGTTGTCTTGAAAGAAAAAGGTGTCTTGAGCGAACAACGATTTACTAAAGAGAGTAAATTGGTTTTATTGACTTTTTCGGTTTCTGGTTGAAAGCTTACTTTGTATAAGTTTTTGAATACATTTAAAAAAAAACAAAAAAACAAAGCAAAAAACCAACAAAACAACAATTGATAACGTATTTATTCTCAGTGTTGTTAATTACTGAGTGATCTCCCCTAGCAAGACTGTATTTAAAAAAAAATAACTAAGTTGTTAATCCTTTCGTGTGTTGTGTATTCGTGAAATTAATACAAATGCATATTTACATGGCCTTGTTGTTAGATCGATTTACATCATATTTTCTAAAAAAAACGAGTGGGATTTAACCAAGTAGTGAAGTGTATTTGAATGAGGAAACGATCTACTTTGAGACAATGAGACCCAAACCAAACTAAGCCACCAAGATCAAAACAAAATCTATAATTAAAAAATTGCTCCTCACTTGCTTTTGTATTATTATTCGTTTTTTTTGTTGTTGTTGTCTTGAGATTGATGGTTCCTGTTAAGATTCTGACTAAATGGGTTTTACTCTAAAGAGCCGAAATAAATTCTAAATTTAAAAAAAAATGATTATTTGAAACTATATACAAATTTTAAGAAAAATATTTTAATTTTTTTCCAGTATAGGAAATATGGCCAATACTTTATGCAGTAAGTAAAATAAACAAATGTTTAGCTTTCCATGCAATTAGTTTAAGCATTTTAAATAAAACTAATGTAAAGTTTAGTCAAAAATAAAATAATTTGTCTTTGAATGCTTCATTGACATATTACTTAATTTCAGTGATTGTTCCTCTTGCTTTCCTTGCCTGTGAGTAGAATTTTGTTTTAAATTCAATTTTATATTAATCTCTAGTCCCTATGGATTAATAGGCACTGATTCAAATAACTAGTGTTTATGGGCTTATGCATAATGTAAGAGGCAGTGTGGCTCTAGCGGTAGAGCGCTATACTGCTAACCCGAAAGTCTTGAGTTCGAATCCGGGTTAAAATAATCAGAATGTTCCTGAGTCCACCTAGCTCTGATGGACACCTAAATCACGTTAGGGAAACAAAGGTGACTGGGCATAGTGCTGACCACATTATCCCTTGTACGCTGAGATAATTGAAACAGATGAACTCTACTTTATCTACCCCATATTCATGGGTACAAACAGGAAAAGTTTATATATATATATATATATATATATATAATATATATATATATATATATATATATATATATATATATATATATATATATATATATATATATATATATACTAGCCGTCCCGGCCAGGCCCTGCTCTGGCTTCTGTGAAAAACCTTCCTGTTAAAGACCATTACCTGTGTGTTTAGTAATCATCATAAACCCGGCATTGCCCACCCAAACCACAGCCAACCAAAACCAAAACAACAAAACGCAAACATAACGCTAACACAATTACAAATACAAACGAAAACAAAAACCCTAACAACAAACCCAACCACAACCACAAACACCAATACCAACACACACAAAAAACGAAAAAGCAAACGAAAACAAACCAAATCCAAACGCAAAACCAACCAAAAACACAAATACAAACCCAAAGAAAAAAACACAAACAAAAACGAAAAAAGAAAGAACAAAAACGAACCAAATCAAACCGCAACAACTAACGCAAACCCAACCTAAACACGAAATCGCCTGTTTTAACTTAATAAACGACTATAGTACCCCAACTTATTCATAGTCTTTTGCACTCACGAACGCGCCTGTTTCAATTTAATGAACAATTATAATACTCCAAGCTTATCCGTCAAATACCTACAACATTTGCACTTGATCAATCCCCGCTAATTATGTAATTATTTTTTTTCCCAACACCAAAACAAAGTAATAAAAAGTAAATTCTTTTCCACTAATGCAATGGTTTTATAAAGGGAAGTAATTGTGTTTTCCTAATTTATCAAAGGGAAGTAAGTGCTATAGGACTAAATAAAGACATAATTAGAATTTTTGTAAAAGATGATATTTTTTTAAAATTTGTGTTTAATGAACATGCCGAAAATTATTACTTTCAGTTTGATAAATGAAAATTATTTCCCATAACTTTCAATATTAATTTTTTAACTCATAAATTTAGACCATAAGGACTTTAATTATCTAACACTTAAATCCATCGAAGATCCACGACAAACATATGTGTTACATACAGAATTGAGCTTTATATATTAGATATACACGCCGATTTTCTGAAAAGTAGGTTATTCCATTGTCGGAGCCTGCTTGTTTCATTTATGTACCTGTTTTTAAACAATTGAATAATGAAATTATAAGTGTAAAAGAAACATTATATAGTGTTAGAAAATTAAAAACAGCGATGTGCTAGCACGACTGTGTTCAAGGTTATTAGTCGATGGCAATGCTATTTAACCATAAATGGTATATATATAAATAATAGTGGTGGTGGTGCGATCAGCACATTAGGTCTGAAATCAAATGCATATTACAATCAACTGCATGTCATGCAGCTATAATGACGATAAACATAGAAAGTAAAAAAACCCAGAAAACTAACAGCCCGATTCAAAATGGAATTGTTAAAGTTTATTTTTTTTATATTGATTATGTTTTTTTTACTCAAGTGTTAGTGTGAGGCTGTTGGACGTGCTCAGTCGATGGCGGAGGGGGTGCAATAATTTATACTGTTAAGCAGTAGTTTTACCAGTTTCTAATTCATTAAATCAGTATAGTACACTATTCTCCCATTTGTGAAGGTTTTGTTACCGCTGAAAGCGTGTCATCAACGACTAAAACAAGTAGGTTGTTTTGTATATAGGTGATGAGAAATATTTATAGATGTAGATGTAGATGCAGATGTAGATGTAAATGTAGATGTAAATGTAGATGTAGATGTAAATGTAGATGTAGATGTAGATGTAGATGTAGATGTAGATGTAGATGTAGATGTAGATGTAGATGTAGATGTAGATGTAGATGTAGATATAGATGTAGATGTAGATGTAGATGTAGATGTAGATGTTAGATGTTAGATGTAGATGTAGATGTTGATGTAGATGTAGATGTAGATGTAGATGTAGATGTAGATGTAGATGTAGATGTAGATGTAGATGTAGATGTAGATGTAGATGTAGATGTAGAGGTGGACGTGGACGTGGACGTGGACGTGGACGTGGGTGTGGGTGTGGGTGTGGGTGTGGGTGTGGGTGTGGGTGTGGGTGTGGGTGTGGGTGTGGGTGTGGGTGTGGGTGTGGGTGTGGGTGTGGGTGTGGGTGTGGGTGTGGGTGTGGGTGTAGGTGTAGGTGTAGGTGTAGGTGTAGGTGTAGGTGTAGGTGTAGGTGTTGGTGTAGGTGTTGGTGTAGGTGTAGGTGTAGGTGTAGGCGTAGGCGTAGGCGTAGGCGTAGGCGTAGGCGTAGGCGTAGGCGTAGGCGTAGACGTAGACGTAGACGTAGACGTAGACGTAGACGTAGACGTAGACGTAGACGTAGACGTAGACGTAGACGTAGACGTAGACGTAGACGTAGACGTAGACGTAGACGTAGACGTAGACGTAGACGTAGACGTAGACGTAGACGTAGACGTAGACGTAGACGTAGACGTAGACGTAGACGTAGACGTAGACGTAGACGTAGACGTAGACGTAGACGTAGACGTAGATGTAGACGTAGATGTAGATGTAGATGTAGATGTAGATGTAGATGTAGATGTAGATGTAGATGTAGAGGTAGAGGTAGATGTAGATGTAGATGTAGATGTAGATGTAGATGTAGATGTAGATGTAGATGTAGATGTAGATACTTATTTCAAACAACATTTTACATTCAAAAAGTCACTTCGGAGGAACACATAAAACAGCTGGTTGAGACTATTGGTGCATCGTGTAGAGGCAATTGTAGCTCGGACATTGATAGTCTAAAGAAATTTACCGTGAAATCAGCAATTTGTGTGTAAGTACTTTCATAATCTATACGCCGTTTAGTATATTTATATATATATATATATATATATATATATATATATATATATATATGTATATATATATATATATATATATATATATATATATCGATGGTCTCGGTCGCAAACCGTCTAACTCAAAAAAATTCGATTTTCTTTTTTTTACATAAATAAAAAGCCAATATGATTCCCCATAATGCCTGAAAATATTAGAGAAATCTGTAGAATGATTGTTGAGATATAATCATTTGAACAAACCGCCTATTATTTGTAGCGCTAAAAATCTCGGCGCAAAACGAATATCGCTATATTTGTCAGTACACTTTTGATCGGGAACGCAGTCGCACGCCGTAATCACAAAATTTTACAGCACAGCAGTCACAGTTACTTATAGGTAAGGATATTTGATTAATTATGTTCAACTATTCTATTACATTTTATCATTTTAAAGAATAATAAACAAATAGTATTTGTTTAATATAGCCTATTTCCAGATTTTCAACAACCAAACTGATTTGTTTACATTTTTTTAGGCTAACACAATGCTTTGAAACTAGATCTTCATTCTAGAATCTAAATATCAATCAAAACAATATAATTCGAATTATATTTCCACAAGAATGTGCAATAAATTTAATAATTGTTAATTCACTACTAGCTTTAGATTGAGGGTTTAGATACGTGTTAACAAATGTTTATATGGTAGGTTACAAAATGTTTGGCGTACATGTTTTTAGTAGATACTTTTATGATTAATTTTTCAACAGACAAGCCTATCATAACACACCAGCCTCTCTCAACATACCAGCCTCTCTCAGCATACCAGCCTCTCACAACAGACCAGTCTTACCACATAACAGACCAGCCTCTCTCAACAGACCAGCCTCTCTCAACAGACCAGCCTCTCTCAACAGACCAGCCTCTCTCAACAGACCAGCCTCTCTCAAAAGACCAGCCTCTCTCAACAGACCAGACTTACCACATAACAGACCAGCCTCTCTCAACAGACCAGCCTCTCTCAAAAGATCAGCCTCTTTCAATAGACCAACCTCTTTCAACACACCAGTCTTACCAGACTATCTTCGACATACCAGCCTCTCTCAACAAACCAGCCTCTCTCAACAGACCAGTCTTACCACATAACAGACCAGCCTCTCTCAACAGACCAGCCTCTCTCAACAGATCAGCCTCTCTCAACAGACCAGCCTCTCTCAACAGACCTGCCTCTCTCAACACACCAGTCTTACCACATAACAGACCAGCCTCTCTCAACAGACCACCCTCTCTCAACAGACCAGCCTCTCTCAACAGACCAGCCTCTCTCAACAGACCAGCCTCTCTCAACAGACCATCCTCTCTCAACAGACCAGCCTCTCTCAACAGACCAGCCTCTCTCAACAGACCAGCCTCTCAACATATCAGCCTCTCTCAACAGACCAGCCTCTCTCAACAGACCAGCCTCTCTCAACAGACCAGACTTACCACATAACAGACCAGCCTCTCAACATATCAGCCTCTCTCAACAGACCAGCCTCTCTCAACAGACCAGCCTCTCCTCAACAGACCATCCTCTCTCAACAGACCATCCTCTCTCAACAGACCAGCCTCTCTCAACAGACCAGACTTACCACATAACAGACCAGCCTCTCTCAACAGACCAGCCTCTCAACATATCAGTCTCTCTCAACAGACCAGCCTCTCTCAACAGACCAGCCTCTCTCAACAGACCAGACTTACCACATAACAGACCAGCCTCTCTTAACAGACCATCCTCTCTCAACAGATCAGCCTCTCTCAACAGATCAGCCTCTCTCAACACACCAGTCTTACCACATAACAGACCAGCCTCTCACAACAGACCAGCCTCTCTCAAAAGACCAGCCTCTCTTAACAGATTAGCCTCTCTCGACAGACCAGCCTCTCTTAACAGACCAGCCTCTCTTAACAGACCACCCTCTCTCAACATACCAGCCTCTCTCGACATACCAGTCTCTCTCAACAGACCAGCCTCTCTCAACAGACCAGCCTCTCTCAACAGACCAGCCACTCTCAACATACCAGCCTCTCTCAACAGACCAGTCTCTCTCAACAGACCAGTCTTACCATACAAAACACCAGCATCTGTCAACTGACAAATCGTAAAGGCACCAGCATGTCTCAACAGACCAGCCTTTCAAAACAAACCAGTCTTAACATTTAGGCACCAGTAACTCACAAGAGACCAGTCTCTCTCAGCAGACCAGTTGTAATATACAAAAGACCAATCTCTCTCAACTGACCAATCTTACCCTCCAAGATACCAGCCTCTCTCAACAGACCATTCTTACCATACAAGAGACCAGCCTCTCTCTAAAGATTAGTCTTATCCTACAATAGACAAGGCTCTCAACACAGCGATCTTACCATACAAGACACCAGCCTTTCTCAACAGACCAGTCGTAACAAACAATAGACCAGCCTCGCATAACAGACAATAGACACCAGCCTCTCTCAAAAAGACCAGCCTTACCATACAAGAGACCAGCCAATCTCAAAAAACCAGTCAGACCTATCAAAAATTCAAAGTGAATTAGCAGATAGCTGGCAATTGCTAAGCTAGGGTCGTATAATTATGATCTCATCTGTAGCCCCTGTCAAGTTGTACAAGAGCAGAAAAAAAATAAAAGCTGTCATATTTGAGCACTCAAAAGCAAGTCATAAACACACCCTTTTATGATGATTTCCCTGATTTTAAAAATATGTTGCCATTTTAATGTTTCTTTATGTGACGTTTATTCAAAGAATAAATTTTAAAAATAAACACATTTTTGTGTGTTACATTTTTGTAAAATAAGTAAACATTAAGTTTGTAAAATAAGTAAACATTAAGTCAGTATTAATGTGATTAGTGTGTTATGTTCCATTCATAATATATCTGACAATACGGTTTCTGTTTTTACTAGTATCATTCTACAAACCCAGCACCAACCAGATTTAGTAAAATAAACTGTGAGAATAGAAAGATGTAATAAATAAAGCATAACCTTCAACAGTTAACAAGTCTAGTGCTAAATACAGACATAATTAATACACTCGAAAGCGATAAAGCCATACTAAAACATCTCTATTAAAAATTAAACTGACCCCATAAAGTAGAATAAACTCAAATAATTAATATATGAGCCCAAATCTATAATTTAAATATTATGAAGTGTTAATTATAACTTAAAAACATAAACATAACTAAATCACGTTCATTGGACAAAACGAACGAACGCGGCTGAGACCGAAATTCTCGGCTCAAAACAGCTAAGTCTGCGCGCGCACAGATAGACGGTTTGCACCGAGAATTTTAGACCGAGCAAACCGTCTATCTTTTTAAACCTATTATAATTTTGTAAATATTAACAAAACTCATTTTAAAACGCTACAGTATAGTCGATGGAGAGTTACTTCGAAGATATCTTTTTTAAAAATGTGTATTAGAGCGACCGAGAAGGAAATAATCAGTTTTTTGTCTCTCCTGTAAAATTTACATTTTCGGAGTTAGACGGTTTGCGACCGAGACCATCGATATATATATATATATATATATATATATATATATATATATATGCTATATATATAATAAAAATAACTCTTGATCTGATGGTTTCAAAATATCTAACCAAGTAGTATTTGTTCTCTTTTAGCCAGTGTTTATAACAGTTTTTGTTATAGCAGATAAAAGTATTTGTTAGTTGTTTAATCTTTACATTGCAAGAAAATTAATAGGCTAAAAGATTATTGGCTTCATATTGTAACGCTTTGTTGTTTCTTACATATTTTACCTCATGTTTCTATAGCTCGTTTTATGCATTCAAGACATGCTTTGACGATAAATGTTACGATGCTCCAAGTGATGTACGCACAAACATTCACTTAGCCAAAGAGATATGCGGTAAAAACATTGAAACTTATCACTTTTTTTAAAGTTAGAGTATTATACATGTTGACTTAGTAAACGTTCCCTTACATACGTGACGGTCAATGAGGTGAAGTAGAGCTCACCTGTTTCTGTTACCTCGGCGTATGAAGAGATAACATGGTCAGCACTATGCCCAGCCGCCTTTACTTTCCTAACATGTCTTCTTCTTTCTTCTTCGTTCTAAATTTTTGGAAGGGATCGTGCCTTATCTGTCAGAGGGTTTGAACCCGATGTGTTAGATACCCATCTAGTCACCCAACTGAACACAAATTCACATCATTCCACATATTCCACATATGTATTTTTTTGCAGACGGCTGTAGTACTGTGAAGATCTCTGGAATGATTCTGGTTTTGATGTTGTTCCTCAACCTGCTTTTCAAGTTGGCTTGATCTCTTCATTAGTGTTTTGCAGTAAAGTTTTTTTTAGTTTAACCTTAAAACAAATCTGACATAATTAAATTAAATATGAGTAGCATTAAAAACACCTAATGAAAATTGTTAAGTACTTAGAATCTGATTAATTAAAAATGTAGTTTATTTTTTAAATTTTATATTTACATTTGTCAATACAAACTGATCGTTTTTATTTTTTAGACTTTTATTTTTTTTTTCCAATTATCTTGTTATGTTTTACCAACAAACAATGGTAGACTTTTCAGAAAATGATTCAAGATACTACAATAAACGCTAGTCAAAAGTTTAATTTATTTTACAAAGATTTAAAATTAATTTGTGAAAAAAAAGATTTGTTTCTATTGGTTCTATCAACAAAAATTTACGAAGAAAGTAAATTTTTTTCTAAAAATTAAAATACATTTGGATCTGTTTAGAAGTAGTTGCACCTGATGATTTCTGAGCCCATTGTATGTTTTTATCAATAAATTTTGAATAAATTTTTTTTATTAAATTTTAAATTTTTAAAACTATATTTTGTGGAGTTTAAATTTAATTGTTTTGTCAATTTACTAAGGATTTTACTTAAACTGTAACCTAATTTACCTAATAGCTTGTTGTTCTAAAAATTATTTCATTTACTATTTTCGCACCCCTCCCCCTTTACATCTGTTATTATATTCACAAAAACAAGATCATCCCACTAGACACATACAATATTAGACGATCGTTGTCTCTCTGCTAAAATAAACCAAAGTTTCGATAGAGCTTTCAGGTCAACAATAATAAAATTCACATGTTGTTCAAATTTAACATGGTTTAAATATGGTGGAACAAGAACTTTCAGATGATGTTCGTTCAAGTTGGACCAATGGAGATAGATTGACAAGATACTTATGAAAGACTATCATGAAATGATAAAATATATCATATATATATATATATATATATATATATATATATATATATATATATATATATATATATATATATATATACATACATATCCCTTTATAATTATGCTGAGGTCAAGAAAAATAAGAACCCTACTTCATCTGCTCTATGTGTATTAGGTCTGAAAAATGAATAATACAATAAATATTTGAAGACTTATTGATTAGAAATACTTACAAAAAACTGGATCAATTAATGTAAATCAGTTTTTAATTAACACTAAAATGAAATTTTAAGCATCAGTTATCTGCTTAAAATTCAAGAATTTATATTGTTTTAATTTTTCTGAAGCCCTACTTTACATACCACATAAGTCTTAACCTTTCTTTTATTATAGTAACTCAACAATCAGATAATAAAGTCGTATTTTTGGTGAAGTTTTTAATTTTAAAAAAATATGACGACTTTTGTCAACGTCTTTAACCGACAGTTTAAAAATGAGCTGTTTTAACTTTTGAATACACACACACATAACTGCAAACATACATTTTGCAAACAGTAAAAAAATACGATCAAGCCTTTTAACATAAAAAAAAATTATTTTAAAAAAAAAGATGAGTATTATGATTCTTTTGCTTTTATGCTGCTGGATGATTCATGTTCTGAATTAATATTGAGACACTAAAAACATGTAATTTTTCAATGAAAAAAATATCATTTTTGAGCTGTTTTATCTTTTTGATGACTTACTGCTCGATTCACAAATGGCACCCTGTATAAAAAAACAATAAAGTTAAAACTGTAAGCACTTTAATGTTTTAGCCATACAAGTCTAATATTTACACTCCAAACATGAAGTGGTTTAATGGATTTAAACGAGTACATGTTGCTGATGTGTACATGATGAGCACATAAGCTTTACTGCCAAACTATGTTCTGATGTAACCTTCTGACATAGCAACAAAAAAAAAGTTTAAATTTTATAAATTCTAATTTTTCGAGAAAAAATGCAGAATAGTTTGCACAAAATGAGGGCTCTGAAAGTCTTTCACCATGTATAAAAAGCCACGACCTGTCATAAAATATAAAATAATACACCACCATATGTAAGTCGTGGGACGGCGTGGCCTAGCGGTAGAGCGGTTACCCAAAAGTCTTAAGTCAATAAAACTAAGTAGGCGGGATAAATTATTTTTCACATAAGAGATTGATAAGAAAGATTAACTTAGTGAATGTCTGCATGTATTTTTTAATGACAAATTATTTTAGTTGCAATACTCAGTGGCGTAGCGAGGTCTGGTGTCACTCGGTGCGGCACTTAATGGTGTCACCCCCAGAGGCGTAGCAACCCTTCCCGGGGACAAACTTTGAATTTTCGATTCGATTTGCACCCCCTCCCCCCTCAAACCTTCGATTTGCACCCACCCCCCTAACTTTTGATTTGCACCTCTTAAAAGACTATTTAACACTCGAATTAATCACTTAATTATTTTATAATGCTATTTTTTGCCTTGATGTCACCCTCTAAATGGTGTCACCCGGTGCGGTCCGCAACCCCCCCCCCCCCCCCCCCCCAACCCCGCCCCCCCCCCCCCTCACTATGCCACTGGCAATATTTACGTATATTTGTTTTCTATTTGGTATATGAAATTTATTTTATGCCATTTTTACTTTCTCGTATAGAGGAAGTATTTCCATGAGTCAGAAATACATAGTTTTGCAATTCTGTCCGTATCAGGGGCGGAACTACAGTGCCGCCAGACCCCGCAATGCGGGGGGGGGGCACGCCGTTTAGGGGGCCCACAGCCGCCCATAATCATTTTTTTAATAGTTAAAACAAATTAATGTTCTTGCATTTTTGACCTGATGGTTGCTTTGAAAAAAGAATACTGTAGCTGCGGTTGGAGTATCTTTATTCTATAGACACCATCCCACGCTCTTGTATATTCTTTTTCCTACAATCAAACACACGCTGTTGTCGCCAAAATTCTTTTGAAAAAACATCAATTGCGCGAGAGGCCGCTAGATATTAAGACGGCTTTTTGAGACCATCCCAAATTTGGTACTGATGGATAAAAGCACATCGGTGCTTTGTTGTCCCTTTTAAGTTCCTTTCTCAGACCCCCCCCCCCTCCCACTCTTAGCCTTATAATAAGCGAATAGACAGCGCCTCAACAACTAAGCTGACTCGTATCGGTGGTAGTGTAGACAAACTAACGCTCCAACAACTAATATCCAAGAAATAAAGTGCCGACATTGTTTACGTTTAATAACCACAGTTCTTGAAAACAAGGCAAACGTCTCAAATAAATACACGAATGATAGCGTGTTATATATATATATATATATATATATATATATATATATATATATATATATATATATATATTAGTTTCGTCACTGGCACCTTGTTAGTGGTTTTGTAAATAACAAACAGATAACAGATCTAATACAGTAGTGATGTTATACAGTAGCTAAGACATGCTGTTGCGTAAAAATTAAAAAAAAACATACACATTAGCTGTAGTGTGAAAGATAGGCAAACGCTCAAACCACTTCCATAAATTATTTCCCTTTTTCAAATAGTCAAATAGGGTTGCTCAAAAGCTCTTTTTAATAGATTTGTAAAAATTAAATTAAACAGCAATTACTGGTTTTAATTATTATTTTAAAAAAAAAGTACTAAAAAATGGTATAGTATAAAAATGAAACGTAGTTAAAATTAATAATATAGAAACAAAAAAAACATAAATATAAACATAACACGAGACACAATTACTTATACAAAGCTTCATGATTGAAATACTTTTGACCGACTTAATGATTAGAAGTATTAAACGTAAATGAAAGCAGAGATTTTCAAAACAGACCAATGCACCCATACACATGACATGTTGTGATAAGATGTAATTTTTTTTTTTCAAAACCCGATCAGGCCAGAAAGGAGTATCCTATGTTCGTATTGTGTTTGTATATATATATATATATATATATATATATATATATATATATATATATATATATATATATATATATATATATATATATATATATATATATACATATACATATATGGGGGTGGGGCCAAAAAAAATTTTTGCGGGGTGGCCCATTTTTTCTAGTTCCGCCACTGGTCCGTATGTATGTGTGTGTGTGTCTGTGTGTCTGTGTGTCTGTGAATACGATAACTTAAGTATCGTTACAATTAGGTTTGTGAAATTTCATATATAATTATTAAATCAAATTTGTAGTTATGTATCAACTTTTCAGCGATTTCCGGTAAGCAAAAGTGGAACTTATTCTACTTTTAATTTTTCATCTACTCTATTTTAAAAATCATGTCTATATCCCTAGTTGCCCTCCCACGTAGCCTTATGTAAGAGTATTTGAGAAAGTTCTTTAGGGGAGATCACTTCCGCTTTCTTTATTCAATTAAAACACTAACAATCTCAAGTTTTATGTTCTGCTCTTGTGATTACTACATTTGATTGACATCTATTCAGCTGTCATAAATTTTGTGATAAGCTTGTTACGAAGATTGTGTAATAGTTCTAGGTCTCAGATAACAATCTCAAAAATGTGTTTTTCCACCTAGGTGCCAAAAATGTGTGGTGTCATGTGTGTCATGTCAACATTACTGACATGTCAACTTTGGGACATTGCTGGTGTCATGTTAATCTGAGAAATATGGAAAAATATTTCTATTATCTTTTTTTTTAAATGCAAGTCATATCTGATTGTGTGCGTTTTTAAAATATAATAACACGTTAATTATTTAATTTTAAAGTGTACCTAGTTAAGTAAAAAAGGTCGTCGTGGCCTAGCGGTAGAGCTGGACTGCTAACCGGTAAGACTCGAGTTCGAATCCGGATTCAAATCAGTAGAACATCCCTTGAGTCCACCCAGCTCTGATGGGTACCTAACTCAAGTTAGGGTAAAAAGGCGGCTGGGCATAGTGCTGACCAGATTATCCCCTTGTACGCCGAGATAAATGAAGCAAATGAACTCAACTTCATCTGCCCCATATGTCTTGGGCACAAACGGGAAAAGATAAAAAAAAGGTTAAGTAAAACGTAGCTGGGGGGGGGGGATGGGGGGTCACTTGTGAAAGTTTTTGGGTGAGGGGGGAATGGGCGGACACTGGTAAAAGTGTATATTTTTTCCTTTTGGAAAGTAAAGGCGGCTGGACATATGACTGACAACACTATTAACCACACATTATTAACGACATGTTCCGAATTCACCCTCTTGAATAAAATCTAAAAGAACAAATTTCATATCCTCTTTTTTATAATCATTTTTTTGGGTGTCGGGGGTTAACTTTTTGGCGGGGCTTATCTGAACAGGATCCCTCATGCCGTTTTCAAAAAAATATATAAACATTAACAAGCTGATATGACGACAACGTGTTTATATTAACGCATGTCTAAAACTTTAATTATAACACAGTTAAAATATAAATAACATTCCTGAAATAGATCTATAGTTGACGTCAGTCGCTTATTAAACTAACTTGCCCGCCTGAAGAGTTGGTGTAATCAAAGTGACGCCGCTTTAATGTTAATACTGTCGATCAGTGGTTCCTATCTTGGTTGAGATCGGCGGAAGTCAAGACCCCCCCCCTCCTTACTCACACGATTCCCGATCGGATTTCGTCAGAACCGACGATAGAACTATTAATAAAGATTCGATGAATACGCTAATGAAACTGGGTGGGAAGGGGGGGGGGGTCTGTACTACTTCAGATAAAACTGCTCCCCGTAGCGGGTCAACTTATCGGCCCCACCCCTGCTATGCACATGTGCGCGGGACGTTACCTAATTGAATCTTATCTTCACAGCTTTCCACTGCAGTGTGGGTCGGTCTAACTGTTTGTAAACGTACCCCCCCCCTCCCCCCCCCCCCCCCCAGACGATAACTTTAAAACCAAACATTCCGTTTTCTAGACGATGCAGACACGTGAACTGGAATCACATTGATAACATTCAGGTTGCTGACAGGTTATTGACAGGGTCACGTGATAGTCCCGCTCGCAAGTTTACACACTTAGGTCCTTCGTTACAGGGGGTTGCTTGACTGGTAAGTGATTTATTACTAAAAATAGCTCGCTAATTAAAATTATGTAATTAATTTTTTTAATTACATAGTTTTTTAAGCATTTTATTACGTTACATAACACAGCAAGAGAGAAGGACAATTTGGCGTCGTTTAATGGTGCACTCTTTGGCAGATGAGGCTCGTTAGCTTGGGACAGCCACTCTTCTAGGAGAGACAACTCCAAAATCAAACAACTGTTGCCTTGTAGTTTGTTCTTTGTTGGACAGAGGCTATGTAATCAAATCAAAAAAGAAAAGCAGGTTGAAATCGGAGTCAATGGCGCATAACCAGTTGACACGTATACTTAATTGTGTTGGAGGGGATACCTTCCAGCACTAAAACAAAGAATGAAGTAGAAGTAGGATGGTGCACTACTAAAACTAAAACTGTTGGTCTTTACTAATATATAGATATATACCTACAAATGTGAGGCATATGTTGTTTCAACTGTTGGTCTTTACTAATATATAGACGTATACTTGCAAATTTAAGGCATATGAAGTTTCAACTGTTGGTCTTTACTAATATATAGATATATACCTGCAAATGTAAGGCATATGTTGTTTCAACTGTTGGTCTTTACTAATATATAGACGTATACCTGCAAATGTAAGGCATATGTTGTTTCAACTGTTGGTCTTTACTAATATATAGATATATACCTGCAAATGTAAGAGACTGGTTTAGGCTTAATTTTAGAAAACTTTACATATTATTATATAAAGACGCTTGTATATATATTTTTTTTTATTTTACCTCACGTTTCAAAATGTGTATTTGTCCTACATTGCATAATCATATAAATATAATGTGTTTTTTTTTAGTTTAGATATAATTTAATGAAGTACTAAATATTTTTCAGTTACAAAATGACAATGACAAACTGTGTCTTGAGTAAGTATATTTACGTTTACGTGCATTAAATTATATTAGTGCTAATGTTGTTTTAGAAGTGCGAGACGGCGTGGCCTAGAGGTAGATCGCTACACTGCTAACTCTATAGTCTCGAGTTCGAAGTCAGTTTAAGTCACACCTCTTTAAGGAAATTAAAGGTTGATGACCACACTATCCCTTCATATGCCTAGGTCAATAAAAAACCATCTGCCCCATGTGTCTTGGGCACGAACGAGAAAAGATGACTATGAGTATTTAAAGTCTTACTAAAACTACAAATGTTTACATATGAGTATGAACTCTTGTTTTATGTATTGCTAATGTAGCTGCATAATTAATATTTACTAATTCTGCTTGCATGTACTTATTAAGAATTACGAGCCGACCCGCGACATATCAAACGCCGCTATTTAGTTGTTGTTTTTTCTACTTTTCAGTAATTCATAATTTGTGAATTCGACAGTACCAACGCTGCCACTGAAATTTTTTCTTTTAAACACTATAAGTAGCTCGTTAAGGACGATACCCCCCCCCCTCCTTCCCCCCCCCTCCGTTAAAGTAAACTCCACTTAGTTACCCCCCCCCCCCCTACGTTTAAAATCGTTTCAAACTAAATTATCTGCCCCTAATAGTCGTCTCTAAACCCGGCTCTGCTTGTAAACATTTAGCGTGAACCACAGCTCACCAGACCATGTAGGAGTGGGGGTGGTAGGGAGCGCGCTTAAAGCTTTTTTTCTAGCGTCTCCCAGAAGAGAATTATATATAGAGATAATTATGATTACTACTAATTCTAGATATACTCGTATTTTAAATAATAGCTGGTCCTTATGTAAAACGTTGAATGTTTTTTTTCATAGACAAAGTGTTGTCTTGAAAGACTTATCAATTTGACTCAGATTTTTACAAAGTTGTATTAATTTGCCAAAAACAAAAAGAATGAAATATTGCCATACTTCAATTGTTATGCCACATCGTGCATAACTCTAATACAATGGAGCTACGTGGCCGAGTAATAGACCCATTTCATTTCTGTCGTGAACGACTCGGGTTCGTCCAGCTTTAAAGGGGATATGACTCTACACAAGCCATTAGGCATAGTGATGGTCAGGCAGTATTTATTATACGCCGATGTAAAACAGATGAACTCTACTGTATCTGCAGTTTAGGGAATTAGGATTTAAAACATTATTACACTACTTTACTACGATAGAAATGATGTTGAGGTCTCTACAAATGAATGTATTTTTTTTCTATTTCAAATTTGAGAAATACTGTAGTCTCTGATTAAAGAATCGTTTAAAATGCAACTTAAAAATTCACCATGAATTTTTTTTTATTCAGTTCAAATTATTATTATTTTACATCGATTTATTTTTTTTTAACAAATCACAAGTCAGTCATGTGACACCTTTATCTTTTGTTTACAGTTGTTGCCGTCACGGTACTGCTATTTGGTAAGGAACAATTAACGCAGTTCAAAGAATATTTAACGACATAAAAATAAGTTGTGTTCATGAAGTTCATTGGTATAAATAAGTTACCATTTCCACATTTTTGAATGATTTGAATCAAGGAAAACGTTTTTTTTTTAAAAAATTCTTATACTGAACATATCTTTAAATTAATGATTGTCTATAATGACGTTATCAATAAACACACGAAACATGTGAAGCACGTTATACACGGTAAACAATATATACACACTAAACACATGAAACGCATTAAATACATGAAACTCATTAAACGCATTTAAAACATTAAGCATATTATACAAATTAAACCCATTAAACACATTTTACTATATGAAACACATAACACAGTAAACACAATAAACAAATCACACATTGAAGTAATTAAATATACGAAGCACATTAAACACTTGAAACAGCAGTCTAATGAAAAAGATCTGATAATTTTACTGTCTATAATCATCGATTTTCTGTTATAATTTAACATGCTATATCAATTTGTTACAGCATTACAGAGTTTAAATTTAAAGACCGAACGTTTTATTTCCATTGTGTCTAGGTCTGGTGTCTTGTCAGGGCAATGGCTCAACTGCGATTCCCACAGCAGGTAAGTTAAATACCACCACGGGTCGACTTAATAACCACCAAAGGGAAGTAATTTAATTAACACTGTGGGACGATACAAAGTTAACAATAAGAATTGGTAAGTGATTTAACACCAATGGGCGACTAAAAACCCCCACTAATTATTGATTAGTCTTTTCAAACCCAAAAGACTACCAAGTACCAACTGGTCAGTCGTTTAACACCAAAAGACTACCAAGTACCAATTGGTCAAACGTTTAACACCAAAAGACTACCAAGTACCAATTGGTCAGTCGTTTAACACCAAAGGACAAACAAATGTCCTGCAACAGAGAAGTCCTGTGACATTTTTCGCAGGTACGCACATACATACTCAGATACATAAATACATAGCTTCGTAACAAAACGGCGTCCTCTATTATCGTTACAAAAAAGCTATACAATAGGTGACTGACTTATCTAGTAGCAAGGATTTTTTAAATTAAAATTAATATACTTACAATAAATTAAAATTAATATATACTAAAGGATTTTATTTTATATACAATACTTCACGAAACAGCCCCTTCATACTTATCAGACCTTTTTTCCTTTTAACACAAAATTAAATCTTAGTTTACTCATTCCATATAGGCTACACCTTTTTTCCAAAACATAGCTTCGCCTACTGTCTGATTTGTGGAACAATCTCCCTAATAAATATGAAAATATATTCAAAAGTAAGATAAAAAAGAAATTTAAATCCTTAACTGACTCATTGCAACATTTCTTATTCATCTGTTATATTCTCATTCTATCTGATTGTATTATAACTATGTAATTTTATTTATTTATTGAGCATTTTTTTTTAATGCTATGTTACTGCTATGTCTCAAGTAGGCCTATTCATTTGCTTTAAAAAAAATTAAAAATGTTGTTATTATGTTTAAAAATAAAACGGCCAATATGAAAAAAGGCCTCCGTGCCTTCTGTTGTAAACGTTATTGAATAAATAGATAAATAAATATATGCATGTTATATATATATATATATATATATATATATATATATATATATATATATATATATATATATATATTTATATATATATATATTCCATTTACATATATATAGTTACACGTATAAAAGCATCAAATATTATGTTATTATATCCGTGTGTCATTAAGTTTTTTAATTACTTTTTAAATCTAGAAACAGTGTACATGAAAGTGAGCCTCAAGCAGCAGCTGAGAAATGTGACAAATCTGTTAAAAACATCTTGTGACGGGAAATGTGAAAGTGTTGCCAATGGAGTTTACTCGGCGGATACTTTCGAGGGGGCTTGTCTGTAAGTTGGGTGGGTGTTAACGTTAGGGTCAGCATGTAAGTGGGCTGTATGTTAGGGTTAGATGTAAGTGGGCTGGGTGTTAAGGTTAGCATGTAAGTGGGCTTTATGTTAACGTTAGGGTTAGCATGTAAGTGGGCTGGGTGTTAGGGTTAGCATGTAAGTGGGCTGTATGTTAACGTTAGGGTTAGCATGTAAGTGGGCTTTATGTTAACGTTAAGATTAGCATGTAAGTGGGCTGTATGTTAGGGTTAGCATGTAAGTGGGCTGTATGTTAACGTTAGGGTTAGCATGTAAGTGGGCTGTATGTTAACGTTAGGGTTAGCATGTAAGTGGGCTGGGTGTTAGGGTTAGCATGTAAGTGGGCTGGGTGTTAACGTTAGGGTTAGCATGTAAGTGGGCTGTATGTTAGGGTTAGCATGTAAGTGGGCTGTATGTTAGGGTTAGCATGTAAGTGGGCTGTATGTTAACGTTAGGGTTAGCATGTAAGTGGGCTGGGTGTTAGGGTTAGCATGTAAGTGGGCTGTGTGTTAGGATTAGCATGTAAGTGGGCTGGGTGTTAGGGTTAGCATGTAAGTGGGCTGGGTGTTAACGTTAGGGTTAGCATGTAAGTGGGCTGTTTGTTAACGTTAGGGTTAGCATGTAAGTGGGCTGTATGTTAGGGTTAGCATGTAAGTGGGCTGTATGTTAGGGTTAGCATGTAAGTGGGCTGGGTGTTAGGGTTAGCATGTAAGTGGGCTGTTTGTTAACGTTATGGTTAGCATGTAAGTGTGCTGAATGTTAGCTTTTAAGCTATACATAACCGTAGAAAGATTCATAAAGCGTAATTCTTAAAATAACAATATAAGAGTGATCTTGCTGAAACTTGCAATACATTATTATACTATTTTAAGCTCTTCTAAACTAGATCCCGATTTCAAAGTGTATTTAGTCCATGAAATAAACGTGTATAATTTCCTATCTGAGTGCTTGTAGTTTTTTCTATTTGATTGCTTGTAGTTGTTTTTTATGACTAAACGTAGTTTACTAGAAGATTAAGCCTGTATATTTTTCTATCTATCTATACACGTAGTTTACTAGAAGATTAAGCCTGTATATTTTTCTATCTATCTATACACGTAGTTTACTAGAAGATTAAGCCTGTATATTTTTCTATCTATCTATACACGTAGTTTACTAGAAGATTAAGCCTTTATATTTTTCTATCTATCTATACACGTAGTTTACTAGAAGATTAAGCCTGTATATTTTTCTATCTATCTATACACGTAGTTTACTAGAAGATTAAGCCTGTATATTTTTCTATCTATCTATACACGTAGTTTACTAGAAGATTAAGCCTGTATATTTTTCTATCTATCTATACACGTAGTTTACTAGAAGATTAAGCCTCTATATTTTTCAATCTATCTATACACGTAGTTTACTAGAAGATTAAGCCTGTATATTTTTCAATCTATCTATACACGTAGTTTACTAGAAGATTAAGCCTCTATATTTTCTATCTATCTATACACGTAGTTTACTAGAAGATTAAGCCTGTATATTTTTCAATCTATCTATACACGTAGTTTACTAGAAGATTAAGCCTTTATATTTTTCAATCTATCTATACACGTAGTTTACTAGAAGATTAAGCCTGTATATTTTTCTATCTATCTATACACGTAGTTTACTAGAAGATTAAGCCTCTATATTTTTCAATCTATCTATACACGTAGTTTACTAGAAGATTAAGCCTGTATATTTTTCAATCTATCTATACACGTAGTTTACTAGAAGATTAAGCCTCTATATTTTCTATCTATCTATACACGTAGTTTACTAGAAGATTAAGCCTGTATATTTTTCAATCTATCTATACACGTAGTTTACTAGAAGATTAAGCCTGTATATTTTTCTATCTATCTATACACGTAGTTTACTAGAAGATTAAGCCTCTATATTTTTCTATCTATCTATACACGTAGTTTACTAGAAGATTAAGCCTCTATATTTTTCTATCTATCTATACACGTAGTTTACTAGAAGATTAAGCCTCTATATTTTTTCTATCTATCTATACACGTAGTTTACTAGAAGATTAAGCCTGTATATTTTTCTATCTATCTATACACGTAGTTTACTAGAAGATTAAGCCTCTATATTTTTCTATCTATCTATACACGTAGTTTACTAGAAGATTAAGCCTCTATATTTTTCTATCTATCTATACACGTAGTTTACTAGAAGATTAAGCCTGTATATTTTTCTATCTGTCAACAATTTAGTTTACTGGGAGGCTTAGACAACTGTCTAGACGTGCTATGTACCGCCAGTGAAAAGGGTAGCTACGAGCAACTTCTCGCAACATCTCACGATATCTGCGGTAAGGTTAAACCATAGAAGGTTGAGGTTTGGGGGTCGGCGTGGTCGAGTCGGTAAAGCTCATGGTTGCTAAACCGAAAGTCTCGAGTTCGAACCCTCGGGCAGATGAGGCTCGTTAGCTGGGGACAGCCACTCTTCTAGGAGAGACAACTCCAAAATTAAACAAAACAAAAAACAAACAAACTGCTGCCTTGTAGTTTGTTCTTGGTTGGACAAAGGCTATAGAAGCAAATCCAAAAAGAAAAGCAGGCTAAAATCGGAGTCAATGGCCTCAATGGCGCATAAACAGTTGACACGTAACGCTTAATTGTGTTGGAGGCGTGGTCAAGTCGGCAAAAAGCTCATGGTTTATAAATTCGAACAAAGTCTCGAGTTCAAACCCACTGGCAGATAAATCTCGATCCTCTTCAACACTAATAATTAAGATCGAAGAAGAAGAAGAAGAGGTTTTGTGGAACATTTGTTTACATATTTTTCATTGGTTGTGCGCACCCCTAAGGGGTCATCAATAAACGAAGTCACACCCGTGGAGGTAGGAGAGTAGAGCTGTCTGACATTTGTGAAGGTGTGTACAGAAAGTCTGAATGTACATTTTATATTTTTACTTTCCCGTATATACGAAGTATAAAGAAAGTCTTGTAATCGTGCAAAAAAAAAATCGAGATATTTACAAATCTCGACGTTTTACACCTCACGGATACGGAAAAAGATAATTTTGCAATCTTGTCCGTATGTCTGTGTGTCTGTGTGTCTGTGTGTGTGTGTAAACACGATAACTTGAGTACCGTTACAGCTAGTTGATGAAATTTCATATTTAAGTATATTATCAAAATCGTAGATCTGTGTCAACTTGTGAGCGATTTCCGATAACCGGAAGTGGTACTTTTTCTACTTTGAATTTTTCAAAAGCCTATAACTTGAGTACTATTTCAGATAGATAAATGAAAATTTCACATGTAAGTAAAAGATCTAATTCTCTATGTTCTGTTAAATTTTGAGTAATTTCCGTTGACCGGAAGTACTAATTTACACTATTTCCGATTTCTCAAAAAACGCATGTAAATTTATAAAGTACTAATAATATTGCGCACTATTATGCACATTTCATTTGGCGTTCACTTGGTGTGCAATTCTTTTTTCTACAAGATTTTATTCTATTTTAAAAACTTTAAGTATTTAACATGGAGTTCCCATCCCCTGTTGTTTTATATAAGAATATTCAAGAAAATTTAGTGGAGATCACTCCCGGTTTATAAAAAGTATCGTTAGAAACCTAATTTTTGCGGTTATACCGAGTTTTCAAAAAAAATGTTTGCGACTTGTAATTAAAATTCAGCAATATATTTAATCGCAGCGTTAAAAAACCAAATTTGCCAATTGAGGGTGGGGGGGGGGGGTGTTTGCTAAGGTGTTATATGATTTTAAGGTTGGGGAGACGATTCGTGACATTTTGATGAGGGGTAAGGTATAAATTGTTTAAAAAGCATAACGACGTTTATGTATGACCAGTATTTCTTCTAGTGGGGGGGGGGAACAACATTTTCCGGGCGGGAGGGGGGAACACTGGTAAAAGTATATGTTTTCTATATAAATTCCATTTTGTTCGTTTTTTTTTGGGGGGGGGGGGGGGAGGGCGGTAGACTTTTCTTCCCCCCCCCCCCCCCCCCCCCCCCCCCCCCCACCGCTCCCCCAGTGTGTTTACTTTGTTGAAACCACACAAATTACAGCAAATATAATTTGTTCATTAATCTGGTTCTAAAAAAAAGTCCACTACATTTCAGGAGCGCTGATTGATATCACTCAAATTACTGTTGAAAGAAATATAATTTGTTCATTAATCTGGCTCTAAAAAAAAGTTCACTACATTTCAGGTGCGTGCCGCGCCATCTTTGTGTCACTGAGCACTCTGGTTCTACTGGTGTTGACGACATTAGTCCTTGTGAAGGGAGACACGGGCTTGGAATATAATACCATTATCATCATCATCATTCCCAGTGGCGTAGCGAGGTCGGGTGTCACCCGGTGCGGCACTTAATGGTGTCACCCCCCCCCCCAGAGGCCTAGCGACCCTTCCCGGCGCCCGGGGACAAACTTTCAATTTTCGATTTGCACCCCCCCCCCCCCCACCCTTGTCGGGATTTGTCAAATTTGCTCTTAAAAGACTTTTTAACACTCGAATTAATCACTTAATTAAGTAGAATTATCATTTTTCTCTATATATTTTGCTATTTTTTTACATGGGTGTCAACCCCCCCCCCCCCTAAATGGTGTCATCCGGTGCGGTCCGCACCCCCCGCCTACCCCCCCCCCCCCCCCGCTACGCCACTGATAGTTCCTGTTGACTCGTTATGGAGTATAGGGACGCAACCACACCTCTACATCATACTCGGTGCTGGGGGATTCCTCCAAATTAGACCGATGACATTCCGGCTACTTCTGCTTTACTGAAATCTGGCCTTTAGCTTATTTGTTAAATATACTTAAAATATCTTTACTAATCGAGAGATCCGCCATTTATTTGATAAATTTGTAATAATTGGATTCATTGAATTAAATTTAATTTAATTTATGATCAAGTTTTTTTGTTTTTAAATAATTGAATTCTATCGTTTATATCAGAAAAAAACAAACAAAAATCATTTGATAGGCTACTCATATCAAACCATACGACCAGAGAATGAAGAATTTCTCTACAATGTAAAAATAAAAGTTTTATGCAGATTCAGGAAAGGTAACTGTAGCACATTTTGTTCACCTTGAAAACTGTCTGGTTATCTACCTGGAATATATTTTTGGTATCATGAGTTAGTGTTTGAAAAAGGAAAGTGTATGATGAATGTAAATGAGTTTAGCCTTTTTGTGTTAGGTATTGTAAAGCATTCCACCAGCTCGTCTATTGTGCTTAATTTTTTTTTCTTTTTTTTTGAAATCATTAAGACCATTTATTTACAGTTTTAACATTCAGATACATAAAATAGCATGATGTTGGGGACACTGAAAAGGGAGTGGACACTGCATCTAAGAGGTATCCTTTATAAAATGTCTAGTGTGCTTAATTTTTTTTTTTTTTTTTTTTTTTTTTTTTTTTTTAGAATAGAAAAAAAAGTTTAATACAAAAGATAGAGCTTAAGTTAGGTACCACATTTTCATAAAGAGCACAAAGTGCATCAAGTCTAGTTTTGTTCTTCATAGGTGTCATCATCAGCCAGAGAAATAATTTTAGCATCTTTTAAAACCAAATTTTCTAAAAACTCCAAAGCCACTCTAGATTTCAACAATTTAAAATAAAAATGCTATACTGATCACTTTTTAAATTTTATATATAGAATTGATCGGAGCTTCACCCTTACAAAAACATGCACAAATTGCATTCAAATAAAAGGCAGTATATTATTATTATTGGCATATAGTAAATAAAAAAAATTCACTTTAAGCTTAGATTTGTATAACAAGTAATAGAGTCCCTTTTATAGAGGAAGAATGGAAATTATATGGATATGTTATATAAGAAGACTGAAAAAAAATGTACATTTTTAATATAATGCCATAACATTTCTTTTAAGTTTTGGAAAAAAATAATGTCTGAGTTGCCTCATGCATAGTAAATTTTTTATAATTTTAAATGCTTTAATGGTGAAATATGTTTACCACTAGTAATTACATTAGCACCAACAGTGAAATCAAAACAATAGTTTACTTAACCAACAAATTAATAAAAATTGGAGGAAATATCATACAGTTATGCTTAGTTTTAAAGTTTCAATTTGTGGAAATGTTAATTTATGGTCTGCTATAAAATTCGTTTCAAAACATAGGGTCGAAAAAAGTTACAAACTTTTCCAAAACAAAAAATTATCCACGCTATTGGTGATTAAACTTCTAAATTTGGATAGCTAAGTGATTGATAGGGGCAATAGAGTTAAGTTACAGAAACAACTTCTGCCTCAACACCCAGTTATTTCCATTGATTGAGATAACTTAATGTGCAAGGAGTTATTGTTCTTGTGTACTAAGTGTGATGGGAAAGGGGAGGCTATGCTAGTAAAACAGATGGACAAGTGAGTAGTAGGCACTTATTTACAAGCTTGTCTTAACAACACATTTTCTGTACAGGGTCAACAACCAAACAGTCAATAACTCACACCAATCCATTAAAAAACTTTTATAACAAACTCTAGTGTGCTTAATATAACTCATATAACGTGTAGGAATTGAAGCCACTGCCCAGAAGCTATTTAAAGCTTTATTTCAAAGAAATAAAGTTTTAAAAATTATATGGTTTTTTTTTAATTTTACTTATAATTTATATCAAAATAGCAACAGAAAAGCACATATATTTTTTGTTGTAGTAGTGAATAGAAACTTAGAGTTAAGGTAAAAATAAATTTTTTAAAAAATATTGTTTTAAAATCTTGGTAAACTCACGAAAGGTAACAGTAAAATATTCATATTTAAATATTTTTATAGTTGTTTCCCTTTTATACAACTTCTAGACTTTTAATGTATATGCGTACCTATGTTAATGTATGGGAGGCTATCCTCTTTTGGTCTAATAAATCAGACGTTTAGTTTCGCATGCAACACGGTTTGTCTCGAATATTACATTGAGGATAGATTAAGAGTTTTCCTAATCCAACTTTGAATTAAAATTATGTAACAATGTTACACATGAAGTCTTTTAATGACATTTTATTTTTATGATAGAAATATCGACATAATTTACTTTTGACAAATTCTCATAACACTATTTGGATAATTTCAGTGTGTAGCCCCTCCCCCCACCCCCACCGAAGATAGGCTACCACACCCCCTCCCCCCCCCCCCCCCCCAGAGAATAAAGTCTGAAAGAAACACTGTAAATAACAAAAACAAAAATGTTTTAGTTTCTATAATTTCACGAAAGGTAACTGTGACATTCTGTAAATTAAAAGTAAACATGGTTGCTTCCCTTGAATACCTCTGAAAATGAAATGCGTTTTAATATTCCTAACATGCTGTTACACCTTCAGATGTATGTGTATGTGTGTAGCATGTGTTGTATGTGTGTAAGTATGTGTTGTATGTGTGTAAGTATGTGTATGCATATGAGAGAAGGGTCGATTTCCCCGTTGCAGGATCATGCAACAGCCTGTCGGTGCCCTCAACAAACATACATCGGTAACTGTAGGTAATGTTGTTTTGCTTTTTTAAAAACACTCTTACCTGCCGATTTACCTTGGTGTAATGTGACCCCTGGCAGTCAGTTTGGTAGATGAAGCAGAGTTCATCTGTTTCGTTGTGATCACGACATATAAGGGGCGAGTGTGGTCGCTGCTACTTCCCTATTGTAAGTCAGGTAACAATCAGAGATGAGTTGACTCAATGACGTTCTACAGACTCGACTTATAGATCCGAACTCGAGACTTTCGAGATAGCAGTAGAGAGTTCAACCCGCCCAACCATTCCATCACATTTGGAATCATGTAACCTAAAATGATAAAATTATCAAAATTATTATAATTATAAAAATATTTTATCTATTTTCATTGGGTATTTAAAGAATAAAAATTCTAAAAGAGATTTTTTTAATAAAAATATAAAACACACAATAAGACGAGTCGTTAGCAATAGGAGAAAAATACGCTGATTCAACTTAAGACGTAGTGTAGTACAGTAGCCACAGTGTCGTAACTGAGGGCGTCACCCCACTCGTTCCAATAATTTTGCAATTTCAGGTTGGGGTCAACTTTCTTTAATTGCAATATAGTATCTTTCATATTGGTAATCCCCCCCTCCCCTCCCACTAAAATCGTGACACGAGGTGCGTTACGCAACCCTCTCCTCCCCCCCCCCCCCCCCCCCCCCCACCGCACATGCTTTGTGACTACTGGGTAGGCCTCAATAGGAGTTGGTATGTTTAGAAAGTGAAAAATGGCTTTTCTTTCTTCTTAGAGAGACATTTACTGAGGCTTAAAAAACGATGTGCATCTGTAAATAAAGTAGTTGTCTACTGACAAAGCTGTCTACTGACAACTACTCTAATTCCCAACCATTCTCTACTAGCCACTACCACCTCATACACTCCATTATCCACCATCATTCTCGACCATTCCATCACCATTATCCACCATCACCATCCACCATCATTCTCGACCATTCCATCACCATTATCCACCATCACTTACCATCCACCGTGTTCCATCCCATCCTCTTTCAATCCCCACCATGCCAATCCATCCCCCATTATTCCCCACCATCCCATCCTCTAACAAGCCCAACCATACCACCCCATCATCTATCATTCTCCACCGTTCCACCCCATCATTCTCTACTATCCCACCCCCATCCAATATCATTCCCCACCCACCCTATCATTCCCCACCATCCCTATCATTCCCCACCATCCCTATCATTCCCTACCATCCCCTTTCATTCCCCACAATTCCCTATCATTCCCTACCATCCCTATCATTCCCCACCATCCCTATCATTCCCCACCATCCTATCATTCCCCACCATCCCTATCATTCCCCACCATCCCTATCATCCCCACCATCCCTATTATTCCCCACCATCCTCTATCATTCTCCACGATCCCATCCCACACATTATCATTCTTCACCACACCACCACATCCTACCTCTATCATTTCCCTATCATCCCATATATCCACACCCATTCCTTAGCCTTAGCGTCCATCAGAGTCTACTCACATCAAACACGAAGATCATTTTTTTAAGTACTCCAACACAAGAGCAATTAAAAAAACCCAACAAAGGTAATGTTTCAAGCTAATTCGTGGAATAAAATTATGAAATATTGTTCTAATTTTTTTTTTCCCAATTCCTCCCTTGAATTAAAAATAGCATCACTTCACGTGTTTGTGTGTGGATGTTTGTATGCGAGGTGGGAGGGGAGGGGGGGTTAAGCTTGTTAGTGTCTGTGCGGATGTGCGTGTGTGCGCGTGTGTGTGTGTGTGTGTGTGTTATCATGTGCGTGTGTTTGTGTGTGCGTGGAGTAGAAACTCACGGACTCAGGAGTGCGGACCAACACCCTCCAATGGTGACACCAGCGTCAAATATTGCACAATCA